TGGCTGCCCCCTGTAATTTTAACAGCTATGTATTTTTCCTGTTTTAGCTTAGTTTTATACTATGATTGAAGTGACCGTTCATCTATTGTTGAGCATTTGTGGTCTTTCTAATATTTTCTTATTTTATTAACATCATTTGTACAAATTATTTGTCCCCTCTTTCATATATTTTCTTGGAATAAAGCTCTCAAATTAGACATTACTGAATCAAAAGGTATAGAAGTCATCATTATGTAGCTGTTACATATTGCCAGATTGCTCTTCAGAAAGATTCAACCAATTTGTGGAACCACCAACAATCTGATAGGATGTCTGTTGCTCAAGGCCTACCCAATACCATTTTAAAATTGTTTTTTATTTAGTTTGTTTGGTTATTGGGTATACAGTGGCACCTTGCAGCTGCTTTAATTGATACTTTGATAAACTGTTAGTGAAATTGTGCATTTTGCCGTGTGACAATTTACTTTATTTTCACATATACACATACACACAGAAATCAAGTAAATACACATATATACACACACATAAATGTTTTACTTTTATTATTCATTGAGTAAAATCTGGATAAGATCTTATTTTATTAAATTATTTTAACATGAGCTTTTACCAGTTATGTCACATTTCTCTAATCTGTTGTTTTCCTTTTGAAACATGTTGACATTTCGTTGCATAAATGTTTTTCTCTTTTAATATACTCCAGCATACCCATCTTTTTCTTGGTACCCGCATTTCTTCATGAGTCACAAATATATGCTATTCTGTTTTCTTCCATGAATTTTTTAAATGAAATTAAAATTTTGTTTAAACCTTTGGCCCATCTGGAATTTACTTCTGGTCTTCCTTAATGAGGACTTTCATGGTAGGGGAAGTTTGGTGTTGAGATATTTTTTGTAGTGCATAAGAATAGACAAGGGAAGGATGTCTCTCGACAAGCAAGTTGACAGTTGCCCTTTTTTGACTTGCTCAAGGAGACCTCTGAAAGACAAGTTGGGAAATGGTGAAAAGTGAAGTTAGTCATTAGTCAAATGCCATTTTGCTCATTATTGTTTTAATGTTGCTTTGTGAACCCTTAGGTCAACTCTTCTCCACAGAGCCAGCCTGTCTTATGAAATTCCTGAGATCCAGGACTGGTACCTTTCCTCTTTCTTCTCTTTTTCTATTCCTTCTCCTTTGTTTAAAATAAGACTCATCATCATCGAGACTGCAGGAGGTCTCAGAATTCTTATGAACTCCTGTCATATGTATCACATTTAATCATTTTACCTTTATAGTTTTCAAAAATAACTTTGAAAGAAATTTAAAATGTCAGTTTACTTTGTGAAGTCGTCAGAGAAAGCAGTACGTGCCTACGGTCAAAGAACTCATCTTTCTGGCACAGAACCACACTGGCTTGGTACTGCAGAAGCTGTTCTAAAAAATTAGACAATGTTGTACGATGACTAACTTGGATAGACTTAGCTCTTCTCAGCAATGCAAGGATCTAACACATCTCCAAAATTCTCATGATGGAAAGTGCTATCCACATCCAGAGAAAGAACTGTGGAGTTAGAAGGCAGATCGAAGCATATTATTTGCTCTTTTTTTTCTTCTGTTTTGTTTTGTTTCTTCTTTCTTGTGGTTCCTCCTATTGGTTCTAATTCTTCTTTACAACATGACTAATGTGAAAATTTTTTAAAAAGTAAAAAATAAATAAAAAATAAATGCTAGGTGAAAAATAATAAAATTAGGTGGTGAACTGCAGCTGATTAAAATTAGATGCTTTGGAGAAAACATCAGGATGAAGACACTTCATTGTGATAGAACCACTTATAGGCTATTATACAACTAGGTTTTCATTTTGGAAGAAGTAAAGCATTCTGGAGCTAAGCATTTTATATGTTGTTTGTTTACTCTTTGAGTGTGATTTTTGCTTTGGCATAGGAGTCTCGAGAATGCATAATCCTATCTGGGCATTTCCTTGCCCTTTATAACTAAACTTTTAAACTAAATCATTTAAAAAAAATAATTGAACAAAAACATGATGCTAGGGGAACCATAGTTTCCACATTAGCCACCCATAGCATGTTTTATGGTGTCCTGCAGAAGAAGGGCAATTAATAATGGACTGGGCAAGTAGGGAAAAGTAATAACAATGATCCATGTTGAGGGGGGAGAGAGGAACATAATAATACAATGGTTCACAGAGAGAAAATGGCTATGGTTCTGAAGAGTTTCTGTTATATTGTCATGCACACTTTTCCATTCATTAATGCGCAGCAACCATGGTTTGAGTTATACAGTCACAGACATATAGTCGCTTTGTGACCTGGGTGAGTTAATTGACCTCTCTGGGCATCAAACACCTTTTTCAAGTCTAAAAGTTGCATACATATACTAGTCTGCATCAGTGGAAGATGGGACTACCCTGTACAAAAGAAATCACAAATCTGGTCCTTCCCCCAATATATCTCAAGTAGTTGGGGGCATACTCCTTGTTCTTCTTCCCCCCAATTGTTCCCTTTTCCTGAGTGAGCTCCTTATCTCCTATTAACCCCTCAAAAGCAGGTGTTTTCCAAATTGCCGTCTATTTTCTTTCTATCTTGTTTACTTCCATAATTTCTGCTAGCATCTCTATAGAAATGACTCCAAATATGTCTCCAGCCTTGCCCTGCCTTCAGACCTTGAAATGTGAGTATCCTACTTCTTAAGTGAAAATGTCCACCTGAAGCCAAGTGGCACTGCCAGAACTTCACTACATTCCTCAGCTAGTGCCTCCTTCCGAGTTGACCTAATTTCCCGTGCTTGAAGCATTGGTATTATTATATTTGACTTTTCTGTTATTGATTCTCCCTTTTTTGTTAGCCATTATTGCTGCCTGATAGATCTTTTCCATTTCGCTTCTTCCCAGTTACCACTTTCCCATATCTGCAATCCTACATACCTCTATCCTAACTATCCTCTTTATATCTAGGCTTGGTTCTGTCATTTTTATATTCGGGACACTTTGGTGGCTCTTCTAACACACAATATACCCTTCTGTAGATCATCAGATCATAGATTTAGACCTGGAAAAGCCCTTGGCACGTAGTAATTGCTTAATAAATGTTTATTGTCTGACTGAATTTAAGTCAAACATGGATTATCCCTTCTCATTTTATTTTTTTTCAATAGGCAAATATAAATTTTAACCCAGCCCTTTTCAGAACTATCACAAATTCTAAAGGAGTAGTGTCTGAATTAATAAATGTCTAATGTAATTTCCCTGTATGCCTCAATTAGAAGTTGCTTTTTTGAGAGCTGTATTAAAAAGAATTTATTAATGTCTTTTTTCTTTCTGTCATAGTCATTCAATCCCTCCAGCTCTTACCACATAAAAAATTAACTGCTTTTCTTTTTTTTTGCGGGGGGAAACTTTATAAAAAGTTGTATTGATACCTTTTGGATTTTGTACTGTACCCGTTTCCCCAAGATTCCTTGTTTCCTCTCTCCCTCCACCCAGAATCTTTTGTTGCCACATAGAAAAACTCTGAAGCCAATCAGTTCACACAGAAAACACAGCTAATGGCATATGCAGCTTTTGGCATCCATTGTCCCCCACCTCTTTCCTGAGAGAAAGGAAATGTGCTTCAGAATCTTTCCTTTTGAACCAATATTGTTCATTACCTTTAATATGACTTCAGTTTCCTTTTAAATTTTTTTTTCACTTTTTCCTTATTTTAGTTACTGACTAATGGTTTTCTAGAAAAAGTCACAACAGGTTATTTTGCAGAAGCCCTAAAGAATCCAAACTTTGAAGGGAAGAGAACATTATCTGGGCTGTTGATTGTCAGTATCTCTCTGGATGATAATTATCATTCTGTGGTTTATGAACATTTCTCTACCACCTCACGATTCTGCCTGTCCCCACCTATCAATGTTGTAGATCCTTTAAGGACAAACACCACCCCTTCCATGAGGCCTGTAGCACATTGCTCATGCTTCCCTTACACCACTGTCCATCCTCTACCTTGAGTTGTAGTTGAATATATGTCTTATTTCCTCTGTCACTCAGTGAAGTCCCTGAAGGAATAGACTGTGTCTTACTAGCTTTGATAGCTGCCCATAACAGTGTCTTACGTTTGAATGAATGAAATAGCAAGTTATGTAGTTCAGAAATGCAAAAATGAATATGTGTAATGTTTTCGTGATATAATTTGATACTTCACAATGAACTGTCTTTGGACATTCTGTGAAGAACTTTAGTAGTTGACCAAAATGAAATGCCTTGATGATACCAATGTTATCTGGCTAATTAGCCGGATTCTCCCAGTGTTTGTTCTGAAGAGTCAGTTAAACACCATTTATCTTGGGGTATAAGCACATTGGATTTGATACTAGAGGAATTGGGGTTAAATTCTGCTGTTACTTGTTAACAATTGTTTTTCTTTAGACCTCAGTTTCCTTATTTGTAAAATAAAAGGGGTTGGATTTAAGATCAAGAATTCCCTCAAGGTCTAAATTCTATGGTTCTATGGAATATACTTCATTGGTAATTGAGTAAAGGTACCCTGTGAGTCCAAAAGAAAAATTAATATTCCTTCTGAAATTTTTTTTCCTGTAGACTAATAAGGCTAAGAGAAGGTTGCTTAAACCAGTTCATTACATTCTTTCTTTTTTTTTTTAAAAGGCAGTTGGGGTTAAGTGACTTGCCCAGGGTCACACAGTTAGTAAGTGTCAAGAAACCGGTTCCTTTCTTTTTGACATTTTGCCACTAATGGCTCTTATGCCATTAGTAGTATGGTAGAAAATGCAGTGAGTGGCCTGAGAGTCAGAGGCCCTGGTTTCAAATCCAGCTTCTTCTGCTTTACTAGGCCTCATGTAGATAAGTCACTTAAGCATCCTGAGCCTCAGTTTCCTCATCTGTAAAATAAAAAAGTTCTACTAAATAAACATGAAGGTTCCTTCCATATTTAATAGTCTGTAATTCTAAGTAAATTATTTCTCCCTGGTTTTCTAATTCTTACATTAATTTCTCACAAAAGGTTAAAAAACTGAAGCGAGAACTCTCACAGATGAAGCAAGAATTACTGTACAAAGAACAAGGGTTTGAAACACTTCAACAGTGAGTATAAAAATGTTTGAAATTAACTTGAATACATCATGAGCTCCTTGGCTAGCAGCAAATAAAATATCAGTGGAGGTTCAATATAACACACACTTGTGTGTAAGGTACTGTGCTCCATCCACACTGAAGATGCAAAAGACACCAGTGACCTCATGTCTCTGACTTCAAGGCATTGGCTTTCTTTTGGGGGGATGTAGCATGTACAGCTCGGAGGAACAGCTAACATGCTGGATGACAGAGAAGGCATCCTAAATCTCAGTGCCCTAGAATGATGAGTGGAATTTAAGAAGCTGAAATTTAATAGGGATATAAATGTAAAGTGCTATTTTTACGTTCACAAATAGACTGGGACATTTCTGTAGAGCGTGAGCTCACTATGAATAAGCATTGTAAAATAGCAGCCACATTAGACAAGCTGTTGTGGTGGCAGGCTGTGGTTAGACATAAGCAATGGCAGAGTGTGCAGGTAGCCAGGGCTGGGCTGGAGCCAGCTGTGACATTGTCATTTTGAACCCTTACGCCTTGAAAATTGACAAATACTACAGATCAGGGCTTGACTCCTAGTTTTGCTGCTTGTCTAGACCTAAGAAGGTGATGGGGGAAATGTTATTTATTTATATTAAATTGAAAAGTGTGTCTTGTGCACATTTTTTTCCCTGTGGCCATTTTTTCCCCAGTGGTATAACATCTACCAGCATACCCCTGGTGCTAGCTCATCTCTATTTTAGCTTTTAGGTGCCACGTTTGAGGAATGTCAGTGAGCTAAGATGTGCCTCTAGGAATGATGATGAAGTGATAATGAGGGAAACAGAGATTATTTCAAACAAGGGTCAATTGAACAAATTTGAGATCTTTAGTCTATTGGTGGGGACCATAGTAGCAGTCTTCAAGTATTTGGTGTTCCCTCATTGAAACAGACTATTTTTTCCCCCCTCAAATATCTTAAATATCTTCAGAAGTGACAGCTTTTATTAAGGGAAAATAAATGAAAATCTAAGTTACTTTCTTTTTTAAAAAAAAGATAATATTTTATTTTCCCCCTATTATATATTAAAATAATTTTTAAAAAGTTTTGAGCACTCTCCCTTCTCTCCTTCCTGAGCCAGTGAGCAATCAGATATAGATTACACATGTACAATCATGTAAAACATTTCCATATTAGTCATTTTGTACAAAAAGACTCAAATAAAAAAAAGAAAGAAAGAAACTGAAAAATAGCATACTTCAGTCTGTATTCAGACAATATTGGTTCTTTCTGTGAAGGTGGATAGCATGCCTCATAATAAACCGCCAGGATTGTCTTGAATCATTGTATTGCTGAGGAATAGTTAAGTCATTCACAGTTCTTCGTCATACAGTATTGCTGTTAATATGTACAACATTCTCCTGGTTCTGCTCACTTTACTTTGCATCAGTTCATGTAAATCTTTTCTGGTTTTTCTAAAATCATCCTGCCTGTCATTTCCTGTGGCACAATCATACTCCATCACAACCACATACCACACAGCTTATTCAGCCATTCCCCAACTGATGGGAATCCCCTTGATTTCCAATTCTTAGCCACTACAAAAAGATCTGCTATAAACATTCTCGTACAAGTAGGTCCTTTTCTCTCTCTTTTTTTTTTTGGTAGGTAATGGGCTTAAGTGACTTGCCCAGGGTCACACAGCTAGTAAGTGTTATGTGTCTGAGGCTGGATTTGAACTCAGGTCCTCCTGAGTCCAGGACTGGTGCTCTATCATCCACTGTGCCACCTAGCTGTCCTCCCCCCCCCCCTTTTTTTTTGGATGTCTTTGGGCTATAGATCTAGCGGTAGTATTGCTGGATCAAAAGGTATGCATAGTTTTATAGCTCTTTGGGCATAGAGGGACAGACATATTCTGCTTGGTTTGAGAGGACTGATATAGGAATAGTAGGTGAAAACTGAAGAGGATCCTATTTAGACATGATGGAAGGAAAAACTTCCTCACAATTAGAGGTATCTAGAAGTGGAATGTCCTGCCTTGGGAGGTTAGTCCATTCTTCCATAATAGAAGTCTCTAAATGCAGGTTAAGTGATCATTTGTTATTAAAAAAAAGATGTTTAGAGGAAATAACCATTCCAGTAAATTTCTGTGATTCCAAGTTCCGGGAGATTCCCATAACCTGGGCCAAGAAGAGAATATTTCTGCTGTACCCTCACACTTCTTTCTATCACATCCTGCCTGAGAATACCAACCTGTTCTAAAGTATCTCCTGTGGGGAATGTACTCAGTTCCAGCCCTGTAAGCTCAGGAGGGTACCCTCTGTTGCAGTCAGGAACCAGAATGATTTTTGTCAGCCCATCCAAGTCTTTATAGGGTACGAGGATGTGTCCTTAGGGGATTCCCAAGGTCTGCATAAGAAGTGTTCTAATCTCTCCCTGTGATTCATTGGTATCTTGCTAACCCCAGAAAAGCATATACTGAGTGTTCTACATGGAAAAATATCAGGTGACATCTAGGGATAGCCATTTGTTCTGTTCTTCTGGCAGACCATTGACTACTGGTGCATACATGGACAGTGGTATGTATCTACATACATATATCCTGGCCCCTTTTCCCCATTTCACCCAAGGCTTTCATGAATGCATGGGTGCTTTAGATTTCCCTACATTCTCAAAAGCTGTGTGGGTTTCAATTCTGACCTAGAAGTATGGTTCCAAACCAGAGCCAGCCTGAAGAACAGAATCCAAAACAAATCTCCACGACTAAATGAAATAATCTGGAAACCAAATTAGTTTGAGGTTTTGTACGCCGCTCTCCCTTCCACGAATTGCATTTTCTCTGGTAGGAATTACAGTCTGTCTAGTAGCTGGGAGTAGTAGAAAGTTTTGAGGACAATCAAAGTTCAAAACAACCCCTATCTCCCAACTATTCCCTGTTATTGAGTGAAAAGAAGTTTATTTCAAAGTTAATCTGCCTCAGTAAATGATGGAGTTGATTGAAAAATGTTTAATTTCTAAAATAAGATTTTTTTTTTGTGGGGTGGGAGATAAAACCACTATAAATTTGAGGTTGTGGTTAGAAAGTGAAGGGGTAATTGCCCTAATAGGTTTATCCAGAAATTAGGTATCATTGACCACACACAAGCCTAATGCTGTTTTAAAACAACAACAATAACAACAACTCATACCACAATCCTGGGATTAAAGGTTAGCCAAACATGCTGTTTTTATTATATTAATGCCACAATGAGGTATTGTTTTAAAGCGACTTGCTTGCAAGCAATTTCTAGAGGAATTCAAGGCATGTTTGAGAATCTGTCAACAGCATACCACAGGAAAACAATGGACACTTGTGGAAATTCAGGCAGCCACTTTGGAATGGATCTAATCCCTTTGGCTGAAACCTGAAAGATACGATATCTTATGTTGGAGACCTTTTTGTACATCTTAATTATACACAGAATAAAGCAGGTTTATTTGGAGTGTGGGGCACTGTACAAAGTAATGTGCTGCCATGTAGTATGCCCGCTACGTGATCATTCAATCAGAATCCCCCATCATCAGTGTGCCTTAGAACTATTTAAACCTGGAGACCCGATGACTTAGAGAAATCAAGAGCCTCTTGACCTGAAATGATCTTTGCTTATAGCTGGGTTGTGATGGGGCAGGCTAAGAAGAAAAAAATAAGTCCTTCATAAAAGAGTTGAAATAGAAGCTCAGTAAAGGAATTTTCGGTGTTTTAAATGCTGTATTATTTTTGTTGGGTCTTGTAATTTTAGTGTTCTTCAATGTTTTCATTTTATACTATAATCTTTTAACAGTTTTATTGGGGAACAGAATATGTGTATGTGGGGGGGGCATGTCTTTATGATTTGATTATTTTCCATCTAAGGCCCCCAAAATGGTTTTTACTCTGACAGTTCATATAGAATGAACTGTGGATGAAACAAAAAAATGTGACAAAACTGTTTTTTCCTCTCATTCCACAGGCATTGTATAGGAAATGGATACTGATTTTTTTTCTGGTATTTTCTGTATTTTTCTGCCCTATACTAAAAGCAGCCTCTGTGCAAAGCCTTGCTCTAATGCCTAAGATTCTCTATAGCTATTTTCGCAGAATGCAGGCTATAGTGGCTTCTCCCATGCTGGGAAGCCTTCACTACAGCTCTAGGGACAAACTTGGTCTGCTTTTCAAGGCCTAGTCTAGGGTAGTAGAGAGACACTCATCACCAATAGGCTGACACTGAGGTGGTGAATTCCTTGGCCGCATGAAACAAAGAGAAATACAAGATGGCCCACAGTTCTCCATAGCCCTTTCTACTTCTGCAGGGACAAGTGACAGAGTGTGGGAAAGGGGATGTTAATAATTCCACATCTAATAAGGTTAAAGGGGATGCTAATAATTCCACAGTCAGGTCATCTACAAGCTTTTACTTAACTGTTGGCCAAAAACTATGAGTGGATATGATACAGGAGGAGCAGAATCATATCTTAACATTCTCAGGATAAATGAAGCTGAAGAGAAAAGGAAATTGTAGCCACGTAGAAGGAGAAGGATGGTCCATAGCTTCTCCTCAAAGAGGCAAATAATGTTGATTTTCATCTAGCGCTCACAGGCAGGAAGAATCATCCTTTCATGGGATATTTTGCAATCACTTATTGCAGTGTTCATGATAAGCATTTAAAAAAAATACGTGAAAATAACTGCAAATTATAAACCAATATTTGTTGCAAAGAATGAAGAACGTAAGAAATCATATAAAGAATTCAGTAAGATCTATCCACCCCGTTAAAACCAGTAAGGTTTCAAGGTAAAAGTCAGAAAAGGAAAGGGCAGGGGAAAAGATTTTGGAAAATATGGCTCAGAAATAAAGAAATGTGAAGTGTCAAAGGTTTGCCATACTACCCAGGAAACTTACACTGATATGTCACGAATACCTTTTTTCAGAACAGAGTTGGGAGGCGCTGGACACAGTGAGTGAACACCAAATAACGTAAAAATAAATCTGCTTATATTTTAACAAGATTATTTATTTATGGGCAAGTCATTCATTCTTGAATCACTTGTGTGTGTACATTTAGATCACTGATTTATAGGAACAGAGATCGTAATCGATGTTGCTGTTTACTCATTTTAGCTGTGTCTGACTCTTCATGACCACATTTAGGGTTTTCTTGGCAAAGATACTGGTGTGGTTTGCCATTTCCTGCTCCAGATCATTTTACAGGTGAGGAAACCTAGGCAAATAGGATTGCTCAGAGTCACACAGCTTGTAAGTATCTGAGGTCAGATTTGAACTCAAGAGGATGAGTCTTCCTGACTCTAGGCATGGCACTCTATCCACTGTGCCACCTAGCTACCCTATCATAAGCAATACCAAGAAGATAAGGTGTGCAGTTGTAGTATCTGTAAACTGACCTACATAGACAGTTGTTTGATACTGGAAAATACGAAATAGAACAGATGTTGACACAGACTATCACCATTTCCTAAGGAATCTACCCAAATTAGCCAATTGCTGTAACAAGGAAACTGAAAGAATTTAGAAACCACCTCAGCTAGCAAATGATTGATCTCCTTGTCAAGCAGAGGGAGATGTCAGTCAAGTGGAAAAACCAGTTTAAAATATAAACTTATTTATGAAATCTTAATGGAGAGCATGGTGGAAAATTATGAATTGGAATTGCATCATAATGCAAGCAGAGAGCAGTTTCAGAAAGCATGGCAAAGGCCCAACAAAATAAACACATCCCAAAGGTATTAAATGGGAAATAGGAGGGATAATGGACCAAACTTAATTCACCATGAATAGAAATGAAGCTACCACACTGGGCAGGTCTTCACATCTACGAGGAGTTCTGTGGGACAGCTAGGTTGCGCAGTGGATAGAGCACTGGCCCTGAAGTCAGGAGGACCTGAGTTCAAATCTGGCCTCAGACCAAACACTTGACACTTACTAGCTATGTGACCCTGGGCAAGTCACCTACCCCCAATTGCCTAAAAAATGAACAAACAAATGAAAAAATACACAAGGAGGTCTGTGTTGGAGGTGGCATAATTTTGAGGGTGTTAAGGTATCTTAATGTACCTTGAGTCTTAACATATCTGAAAGAGGGGAAGATACTCAAAGTTTGGTCGGGGAGGGGAAACCTTCAGACTTATTACCCCAAAAGAAGTAGCCAAGAGAATATTAGTAATTACAAAATGTTTTATGAGAAAAGTGTACATGTGTATAGAGAGAATCATAGGATGTACGGGGTGCTTAGGGAGGACTAGCATCTGATGTGTGGACTGCTGAGCCCTTTTCAGAGCTGCTCATTGGTGTCCTTTGGTGTCCACCTGGTTATTCAGCTCTCAGCTGTGGCTCTGGGAAGCTGTAGCATGTGCAGCCGCAGTATGGTAAGTCATCTCATCAGATGGACTAAACCAGGCTGAGGGTAACTGACAGGCCTTAAACCTGTGGGTGAGTTGGGGGGATGGCTACACCAACCATGTGAAGACTTCCCCCAGCAGAATGGGTAGATGAGAACAGATTGTTCCAATGGCCATGAAGGTGGCTGAAGCAGAGGCTGTGGAATACTTAGAGATTGGTCAGAAATTGACAATGCCAAGGTCATCCACTGCATTGCAGGCCATTGTCAATCGTCCTGACTTTTGTCTTGCCTCTGGACTTCTATGACTCTGGAAGAGAAAGTGAGGCTGACTTTGCACCACTCTGCCTCCCTTAAATCCAGTTCGCAAACAAGTTAAGATATCACCCTGTAATGTCATTGGTCCTCTTTGAAAATGAAGGACAAGCAACAAGAGACGTTTATAAAAGTGAGGGCAGTAAAGCGATAAAAAGCAAAAATATTTACAGCAGCTCTTTTAGTCGTGGCGAAAAATTGGAAATTGAGAGAATGTCCATCAACTGGGGACTGGCTAAACAAATTGTTGTATGGGATTGTGATGGAACACTATTGTGCTATGAGAAATGATGAGCTCTCATAAAAAAGCCTGCAAAGACTTACATGAACTGATGCAAAGTGGGATGAGCAGAACCAGGAGAACATTGTATGATAACCAACGTGAATGACTTGGCTCTTCTTAGCGGTGCTGTGATCCAAGACGATTCTGAAGGGCTTATGATGAAAAAATGCTATCCATTTCCTCAGAAAAAAACTGATGGAGTCTGTATGCAGATTGAAGTATACTTTTTCTTTACTTTTATTTTTCTTGTGGTTTTTTTTTTGTTTGTGTTTTCTTTTACAACATGATTGATATGGACATACATTTTACATGACTACACATGTATAACCTGGATCAAATTGCTTGCCTTTTCAATGGGGGGGGGAGGAGAGGAAAGGAGAGAATTTGGAACTCAAAAATTAAAAAAAATGTTAAAAATTGTTTTTATATATAATTGGAGAAAAAATTAAATGTAATGGGAGACTTTTAGAAGGAATATCCGAAGGAAAATGTGTCATTGTAGTCATGCAATTGCCTGAAAAATGTGTAGACTATAAGATCTTAGCATGCTGACTTTATAATTTTGTAAAGATTTACTCTAAATACACTTGAAAATTCCCAGTATTCAAAACCTGTCAGATTGTCTTACCTTTTTTTTTCCTTTGAGAGATCATATTTACCTCATTACATACTGCCAGAATATTATATCTGGAACCAGCAATTAATTTCTAAGCCCTTTCCCCAAATCAGAATTGGGGGTTTTGGTCAAGTTTTGATGGCAGTAATATATTACAAGAGTCAAATGTGAATGTAAAAAATTTAGGAGCAGCTAGGTGGCACAGTGGATAGAGCACCAGCCCTAGAGTCAGGAGGACCTGAGTTCAAATCCGGTCTCAGACCAGACACTTGACACTTCTAGCTGTGTGACCCTGGGCAAATCATTTAACCCTAATTGCCTTGCCTTTTCCCCTGCCCTCTCCCCCCAAAAACACTTCAGAAATAAATGAACTTAAAACCAAACTTTCAGAGTTCAAAACTTATGAATGGGATTACTATAACAGCCCATCCAAATAGAGATGTTACTTTAGCTAAGTCATTTCTGGACCTCTGTTTCCTTAATCTTTAAAATGAAGGGTCTGGATAAAGTAATCTCTGAAATTACCCTTCCTTTTACAAAAATTCTGTGGTTTCTTTTATGTCAGTAAGTATGTATAGTGTTCAATCACTGCATTTCTTGTGGTGGCTGACCTGATTAAGAGGAGAAAAAAGCAATGTCATTCTATGCGGTGGTTTTTTTAAGCAGGAGGAAAAAAAGCATTTGGTATGTAGTGATGATCTTTATGATGAAGTATTTTCCTAAGTTCTTTAAAGCAGAGCTATAATTGTTTGTTTAGCATTATAAATTATTTACTTAAATAGTACTTGGGGGAAATATGTTATTTATAAACTGCACTTGTTAGAGTAAACTAAAGTTGGAAGGATATAAGTTAAGATGAAATAGCTATTGTTTTTAAGGTCACAATGTTTATATCCAAAGGAAATGTAAACTCTTTAAATGTCTTAGAAGTCAGTGGAACTCAATGACAGCTTCCTCTGAAGACTCATAGAAGTATGGTCTACTATGTCGGTTGTCCAAAGGTTCTGTGGATAAAACAGACCTGTGTGCTAGGATGTCTGTGAGCATGAGAACGAGGGGGCAAAAGTACAGCTGTATTTTCAGCAATTAAAGCATCGAATGTATTACTAATGAGACTAGAGAGCATGCTAGAGTAAGATTCAGAAGATGAGAAAAGGTCTTTAGAAATGATTCTAAAAATCTTTCAAATAGAGTCAGGTTATTTAATGGTCTGTACAACGCAAAATAATCATAAAGTCCCATTTATATCTCTTGGCACAAGGGGCTCACGAGATATATTTATGGCTGAATACTAGTGACAGTTGTCCAGTTGGTAACCAGATTTGCACTTATAATGAAATCCCTTTGAAGATGAATTTTCATTAAACTAATGTTAGCAATATATACTTGGCAAAAAATAACATACACCATTCTGTCTTTTTCCTAAAATACCAAGTTATTAAGACAGACAGTCCTGTCTCCATTTTTCTCTATTCATATGCTTCATAAAATGAAGATGAGATAACATCTGGCAGGGTGGGGTTAGAAAGAAAAAAACAACCTCTTAGCCTAGATGTGGCTGGTTACTTGCCAGGGCCAAATAAAGAATTATTTCTTTATTTGAAAGATATTCATGCCAGTGGTTGTCACAGTAGTAAGAACTATTAATGTTACTTTTCTGTTAAAATATCTTTATTTAATCTTCTAGAAATGGTGGAGATATGGATGAAAATGTGTGTGAGGTTTGGATGCTAGAACTTATAGGTGGTAATGGGAATGAAATGATGCAGGTGAGAAAACAGCTGGGGAAAGAGAAAGCCTGCCATAACTTAGACCTATTTGGAAACAAGATGAGTAACTTAACTAGCTCCAGTATGAATTGGATTGTAACAAATATAGGGGAAAAGGTGGGAATTAGGAGCTGGAAAGGATGGGAAAAAATGGCATTGTTATTTATAGACAAGGTTTTTGATGGAATGACCGGTTTAACCAGTATTCTTCCTTTGATATTTGTGCAGAATTGACCAGAAAATGTCTGGGGAACATAGTGGATATGAACTTAGTAAGGCCAAAGCTATTCTAACTGAAATGAAGTCCATCAGGAAGGCCATTAGCTCAGGAGAGAGAGAGAAACAAGATCTCATGCAGGTATGTGCAACATTATTATTTTTTTTTAAACATACTTCTACTCTCTCGGTTCCTCCATATCTTCCTTTGGGAGAAAAATACCCAACATTTGTAGTAAACCAAGTTACTGTTTGACTTGTGCTGTGTTCAAGCATTGTCCTAGGGCTCACCAAGTGAGTTTAAATTTGGCCCAAGACAAGTAGTTGGTGGGGAGAGTGTTAAAAAGTAGGACAAGTATTGGAGAGATCAGGTTGGTTCTGAGGATGCCCCGCAATTCTTAATCTTTGTATGGATACATTCAGTAGCTCCTGGAGCCGCAGACTAGGGGATTCCTAATTCTATTATCAAGTCAGGTCAAAAAATGTATTAAGTGCTGGCTATCTGCCAGGCACTGTGCTAAGCTCTGGGGATACTCTCTGCTTATCTAGGGATAAGTAGAAAGAAAGACAGTCCCTGCCTATCTATGAGCTTATATTCTAATCAGAGAAGACAACACATAAAAGGGAAATTGAAAACTCATGGAGGATCTTAAAACTAATCGAAAAGGGCTTCCGGCCTAGAGATGACCAGCATCTAAGTAAATCACCTTGGACTACTCCTGATGTAATCAGGAGAGATTGCTTGATGACAAACAGCGAAATTCTCCAATCAACACATAGAATTTGGCCATAATTCAGCTAATGTCTTACATGCAGTAAGGCTAAAGCCATTCAGCTCTCTATATTGTACTGTCTGCTGCATTCCCAGGACTTTAGACATTTGCAGACAGGTCAAAGCTTCATCAGAGAATAAATAAAAAGGCCATATTTAATTTGCTGAAGCCATACAGAGTGGATTTCAGACGTTTTGAGCCCTGAACCTGGCTAATTAGTATGATTGATTTACCTTTTTTGGAGGAATATCTAATATCACTGTGTTATTTCTATTCTTGATAAGTCTTCTTCAGCCTTAAAATTAAATACAGGTATCTCAAGTAGATCATTGGTAGAATATTGGTTATATATATTGGGAGAGAGAGGGAGAGAGAGAGAAATATTCTTGATTTTTCTGTAGCTAATAGGCACTTTTAAGTTTTCTTTTCAGGTGCCCTAAAATAGACTTTAAAAATACCTCTGATGAGAGTTAAGTGATTGACTGCTTTAACAATACTTTTGTAAATAGTCTATTTTTGCATTATAAGAATCTTAATGTTTATAATTCTTTAAAACATTGGATCATAAAATAATTAAATGTGTCTTCACACGTCAGCAAATTTGTGGAGCTAATCAAACCAGTTTTCTTATCATTGAATCAAAGTTTGGACTCATCTAATACCCATAGTTAAAAGATGAATTTTTCTTCTCAAGACAATGAATTTTTTCCCTCGGTCACCAAACTCTAAAGAGCAAATAGTATATACTCTGCTGGTTTCTACGAACACTGACAGGATTTTATATTATGCTTTAATTTTTAGAAGAAAAGCAAACTTTTAAGTATCTTTAAAAACTTAGTTTAATAATGTTTTCTGTAAGCCTCTATGTAATTATTTGTTTTACCTAGGGAGGGGAAGGTTTTTCCTAAATATCCTGAGTGTCAGCTTGAAGGTGCTTTCTAACCCTCTGTGGTGATAATTTGAAATTATTCCTGGGTGGCCATGACCCAGGTTCTTCTCAAAGTTGGTGTATTGGTTTTTTAATGTTGTTGTTTGTCCATCATTCTCAATGGGGACTGTGACATCAGGGAGATGATGCTGTGACTTGCAAGTGAATTGGATTTAAGAGAGGGAGGGCTGTGCAGAGTCACCAGCCTAGCTTTCTCCTCTGGAGCCATCTGGGTCCAGTGACCAGATATTGATCAGGACTGGAGGTGGCCCCCATTGGGTTTTTAATAGTTTTACTACATATATATAGAAAAGAATCTGTCTCTACTTTAAGCAAACCCAATTTATGAAAATTTACAAAACATATAAATTGGACGAGGGGTGGGACGATTATTTAACACAGTCCTAGAGTCGGCTATGTCACCACTGACTATGTGGCCCTAAACTAGTCGTTAGACTTATTTGGGCCTCAGCTTCCTCATCTTTAGAATGAAGAGATAGACAAAATTATCTCCGAATGCAGTTTAAGAGCTGAATGTTGTGTCCTTAAAAACATCTCTTTTAAATTTTAGAATTCTGAGATTTTTTTCAGTAAATAAGTGCATCAATACATTCAGAATTTATTTCCATTTTACTAAAATTCATTCACAGAATTTCTATTACATACAAGCTATATATAAATATGTTCTTACAGTTCATGAATATATCCAATATTAAATTACAATGTTATTTTTTTTTCATTTCTAGAGATCTGGAAAAATAAGATGGCCCTTGATAAATCTTAAAATGGTGCTAAAATTGAGCATTTTCCAGCATGATTTTATGTATAGATATACAAAGCAATTAATTTTATTACCATACTGTGTCTTAGCCATTTCAATAAAAGTGCGTATTCCAATGAAGTAATGAGCATTTCTGTCATGGGCTTGGATCAGTGTTTAATTTTGCTTTAAGGCAGGCTATCTTAAATAAAAATTGTTTTGTAAAATAATTTGTGTTTCCTGGACAGAGTCTCGCCAAGCTGCATGAACGGCTTCATTTGGACCAAAGCATTGGGAGATCTGAACCAGACTTAAGGACCGACTCCGTGAGCTCTCATATATCTCTCTCCAGACAGACCCTCGACGCTGGGTCACAAACAGGCATCTCTGGAGATGTAAGTGGCTTTCTGGAGAGGGAGGCTTGAATGATGTCACGAGGGGGACTTGATTCCAGTGGGAATGGAAAACAGCAGTGCCAGTTAGATGCCAAGGTTTGCAGTCCAGCGATACCAACTCAGGGCTTTATCCTCGTGAGGCAGTTTTAAAAAAATCATAGCCCTGTTTTTTCTGGCTGGGGACCAAGGTTATTCACATCCTTTCCATATGAACAGTTTTATTTAATCTCCCTCAGGCTATATTCAGGTATTCCATTGAAACTCTACAAAATTCATAGTTTGAATTTATGCTGGCTTTTTTGTGTACGTGTTTTACAATAATTTTTAAAACATCTAATGTGAAATAGATTTTAAAACCATAAAGAAAATACATTTTTGAATCATTATTCAGAAGAAGATAGGCCATAGTTGTTTTCTAGTTTCCTTAGTTCTTTTTTTTGGTTCTTAGTTGTTTTGAAATGTCGGTAATGGATACCTTTCCTTACATATTCCTAATTGATTTCCTGTTCTCTCACCTTCTCTTAAAGCATGATTATGAAAGTAAAAGTCAAGTAGAGGTCACAACCCTGGCTGACATTTGAAAAATTATATGCTTAAATTTGGTTTTCATGTTGTGCAGTTGAAAGCTAATTGATGGAAATTTGGCTCTTAGAAACAAAGAAATTAGTTCCAGTTCATGTATTTTATTGAGCCTATACACCTGCCATAAAATTGTAGCCACCAGAAGTATTTACCTAACATTTTTACCTTGAATGTTAACATAAAGGAAAGATGTTTTTAGATGCACTACACAATTGATTATCTTCAGAAGTTTCTTTTTTGTTACCTCATTGAGGCTACCAGATATGTAGCTATCTTAAAAAAACCCAACAAACCCTAGTTTGTGTAGAAAGATTTACTTGTAGTTCCTGAAAATGCAAATGATTTTCTTTATTCACTGCAGAATTAATTGGTGTCATTTGTTTGTTTCTTTTACTAGTTTGGAGCAAGAAATAGAGCCAACTTAGCGGAAAAGGTCAGGTTAAGTCTACGGTATGAAGAAGCCAAAAGAAGGTAACAATGGGGATTATTTGTTGATGTTCGGTGGGCAAAGGGTTCAAAATACATTTTCTTTGCTGGAATTTATCTTTACTCCTACAGTGACATCTGCTGGCCACTCTGAAGGCAACTCAGCATAAAGCAGCCAAGGTTTCTTCCTTTAAAATTTATTTTTATTTTTATTTTTTAAAATGTGCCTAGAAGAGTATGGGTTTCTTTTTTTTTCCCTGCAAGAGTATTGTAAGGAGGCAGAAGAAGAGGTATGAGAGTGGGGAGGAAGGGCTGCCCTGTGCTTTGAGGAAGAAAGGGATTCTTCCGAACCCATTAAATGATTCCCATTGAAGTAAAGAGGTTGGTTTCTCAGATATGCAGGAATTTGATAATGTTGCATTGAATCAGAGGCTTTGTTATGTGTCCTTTTAAATCACGAGAGTGACCCAAATTTTGCCACGTGCTTTACACCGAGACTTGGCCTCAGTCTACCCTTGAGGAGTTCAAAGATAAGATACCTGTAAGCCAAAACCCTAAGTAACTCAGGAGTCCTTCTCCCTGAAGTGAAGGTCTCTTTATTTCATCCCTCTTTGGAGGCCCTGGGATGTTTCTTAGACCTGTGTGATTGGCAGTTCAATGTGAACAGTGAGGAGAGAACTCTCTTATTTAAGTACTCTTGTCAGATTTATGTACTTCCATTCTTTCCTGCTTTGTGATTCTGCTTCGGTGTGGCAGAAGGGACTCCAACACCTGCTGTGTGCCAGACACTGTGCCAAGACTCTACCCTTGTGTAGTAGATGGACTCTAGAATTGTGTTTTACTGCCCCGAGGTAGAACAGTGGGTGGGTGCTGCCCCTAGAGTCAGAAAGACCATTGGTCAAATTCGACCTCATATACTCACCAGCTGTGTGACCCTGGGCAAGTCACTTTACCCCATTTGCCTCCGTTTCCTTATCTGTCAAAGGAGCTAGAGAAGGAAATGGTAAACCACTTCAGTATCTCTGCCAAGAAAACCCCAAGTGGGGTCACAAAACGTCAACTAAATAAGAACAACAGAACGGAAAGGTTTTTATTTACCAATTGTTTTCAGAAAATGAAGGGGCACTCCTTTTCTGTTAGTGTTGTTTGCTTATTTGTTCATTTATTTATTTGGTTTTGTTCTTTTTTTCTTACTGATGGAGAATTCTTGTTTGGCTATTGAAGAATATGATTGTTATTAAGAGTGATAAATTTTAAAAATTTAAAATTTTTTTAAAAAAATTAAATTTTAAACTTTAAAAAATTGTTTGTTGTCTCCCCAATTAAACTGTGAGATCCTTGAGGTATGAGACAAGTTTTGTTTTGTTTGCCTTTCTTTCCGTCCTGAGTGCTTAGCATGTTGTATAGTAAGCACTTAATAAATATTTACTGACATGACTTAAAATGATGTCTTTCCTCAAACATACACGTATTGGAGATTATAGGTCCTATGAACATAAATCGTATTTTACCACCGGGGAATGCAAATATTTATTTTCTTTAGTGCATACAATATAGAGTTGAATGCTGAACCTCTCAGTCATTTTCTTCCTTTTAATTATCTTCATTCAGCATTTATTCAACAAATACCTACTATGTGCTATGAACTGTGTGTTACATGCATAATTGTCCGTGCCATCTTATAGCTTTTTAATTATTTATTTGTTTGGTTTTGTTTTTGTTTTGTTTTGTTTTTTGGCTTGGCAGTGGGGTTAAGTGACTTGCCCAGGGTCACACAGCTAGTAAGTGTTATGTGTCTGAGACTACATTTGAACTCAGGTCCTCCTGAATCCAGGGCCGGCACTCTATTTACTGCGCCACCTCGATGCCCCCTGTGTTATAGCTTTTTTTAAAAAAAATTGTATCGCTATTTTGTTTTTATATCCTCTTCCTTTCCAAATATAGCTCTTCTCACCTCCTCACTCAGTAAATTCGCCAGCTCTCAGAACAATGAATATAGAAGAAAATAGGGAAGGTGGGGGAGGAAATAAAATCAGCAAAATTAACTAGTATATCTTCAGAGTCTGACAACATGTGTAATATTTCACACCAATAGTTCCCCACCTCTGCAGAGAAGACAGGAGGTTCTTTTTCTCATCTCCTTTCCATTGTAGCTTATATCTAATTAGAAGTCTAATTTAAAACATGTTGTTGGGGTTTTTTGTTTTGTTTTAAACAGTAATGTCAGTTTACTATTAAATTTGCCTATGGTGTAGCTCTTCTGTAGCATTAACAATCGGACAGCTTTAGAATTGATGGCAATGTAACTTTCCTATATCACATGCCACCCACCATCCTGAAATCTGTTACTAAAGTCTCGTTAGCATTTATTCTGACAATTCTAACTGCACATATTTCTACAAAGAGCCAAAATTCAAGTTTATTTGGTAAGGTGGAGGGACTTTTTTTTTTAATGGAAGAGAAGAAAAAAACCCTTCATTTCTCTAACCGAATTTTAATAGGAAAAATCTAACACGGTTATACTTACAGACACATGTACACACACTTACCCCCATAAATGAAGGTGAAACTGGCAAATTGTATTTAAAGAGTCTGTCACTATAGTGCTTTTCAGTTTAAACTAGTTAGACGGTTATGTTTCTTGAAGGTGGGAAATATCTCTTAGACTGCCATTTTCTGCCCCTCCGTGATGCCTTATGCATACTAGAGAATCAAATCAGATAACCTAGGTAAAGTGTTTGGCAAACCTTCAAGTGCTCTAAAAATGCTAGCTGATATTATTATAATATTTGTTGACTGAGTGATTAGAACAAGCACGAAGTCATTTTTCAGTGTGTTTTTCATGTCCCTGAAAAGTATTGAATAGATGGAACCCGCTGCTCTAGCAGAGACACAGCAAGGTATAAGATTTGAGTAGTGTATGGCTCCAAGCTATACGCCTTTAGTGAAGCAAAAGCAGCAGAGAGAGTTGTTTTGAATATAATTCAGAAATTTTATTCATTTCACTCAGTGAAATAAGTCATAAGAAACGACCTCCATAGCAAGAAATCTACATTGGGGATGCATGCATGCCTGAGGCCATCACTTTATACTGCTGAATCTCTTACATAACTTTTCATCCCTATAACTTTGGATAAAATCAGACTTTGGACCCTTAATTCATTAAACATTTGCATGCCTACTAAGTGCAAGGATATTTCTCTGGTGAGCACACCGTTAAACATAGCAGAAGCTTAGATTGCCCTTTTTTCTGTAGGAATTCTAAACACTTTTGTTCATATTCTTATTTTTTTTAAGGTGTTCATATTCTTTTATTCATATTCTTTTACCTTGAAGCATCCTCTAGAAAATACGTCTGAAATTCAGAAGCTATTTCATGCTTGACTTGTAAAAAAAAAATGTGTCCTTTTCTCCCCACCTTTGTACAATTCTGGCCCCAGTTTGTTTATTAATTACTTCACACCACAACTTAAGATACTTGGTTCCCTCGCATTTTAGTTCAGCCCTCTTGAATGACCACTTTTAATTTTATTGTAAAGCCACTGGTAACACTGAAACAAAGATAAATTTCTGGGATCTGTGCTTATGTTGAAAATGCTTTTTCCTACTGAATTCCGAATAAATAAAGGAGTGGGCTTTGTTTCTCTCAAACCTGTTTTGTCCTTCCAGCCTTTGTTTTATGTGCTTAATGAAAAGCTAATAATATCATACTTATTTAGCATTTTGATGATTAATTTTCCAGTACGTTGAGGCAGTTGTTTATAGTTTTGTGGTAAAAGCTGAAGAAGAGCTATCTATCATAAGAGCAGACATCTATCATAAGAGCAGACAGTGGATGAAAATCACAAGTACCCCCACAATATACAAGTGCCAGTTTGAGATGGGAAATATATTTTTAGCTGGAGCAAAAGGCTTATTGTGATATGATGTAGGATCATTTGTGACTTCATCCCTGATTGGGTTTTTATGTGTGTTTTCTTTTTCTGCTGTCTTGTTTTCTTTAATCTAAAAAAAAAAGTGATGGAGGGGTGGGTAGGAGGGTTATTTTTTTCCTCTCTTGGTTTTGCTTTGTCCTGCTGCATGCTTCTTGGTATCTTACTCTTATCATGCTGACACTTTGTACATGAACACTGACTACTTATGCAGAAACCATGGTGTGCTCTCTCTCTCTCAATAAAATAGTGTCCTTGAATCTTATGCTTATAGTCAAAATCGTAGATGCACCCCTTTTCCCCCTTTGGTTTCATGGTGAACAAGCCCTGTTGCTTTAATATTATACCAGTGGGGCTATAGAATTCAGTCTTCTTGATTGGGGCTAAGACTAACCCAGGCCAAAGTCTCCTAATACATCTAGGGCTATCTCCAGTCATCCTGATCTATTTCTTGCTGTTGGACCCAGATGGCTCCCGAGGAGAAAGTGAGGCTGGTGACTTTGCACAGCCTTTCCTCACTTAAATCCAATTCACTTGCAAGTCATGTCATCACCTTCCTGATATCATGATCTTCTTCAAGAATGAAGGACAAACAAGCCTAATCCAGTGTCAAGTTTGAGTTTTAGTTGAAGCTAGGCCTCGTCCAGGAGAAAAATATGAAGTTGGAGAAGTGTGTGTCTGACAATGAGAGGGTACTCTTTCCACACTGTTTTCCTGATGTCTGCTGGTGCCCACTGCCCTTTCATGTTCTCAGCCATCTCTTTTTTGGAAAATATCTTATTTTTTAAAAAACAAGACAAAAAATTAAGTTAAAGTAAGGTGTAAATAATTGCTAAGGCCAGGATTAATTTCCAGGAAGCAGGAGACTCGGGGTAAATCACATTTTGTGCCCCTCACGCTAAGATATTTATGTAGGTGAAGCCAGTTTACAATTACCAAGGAAGGGGAAGGAGGCTACCATAAATTATAGCCTGAGGAGAATGTGCCCAGGCCACTGGTTTTGCCTTAATTTTGGGGGGTGGGGGGGATGATGGAAGAGTTGGTAGCATGGAATGTATATGAAACTCAGGTTTTTTTTGGGTATCACTTGGAAAAACCGTATCAGTTCACATGCTTCCCCCTACCTTCCTTCCCACCAGTTTAGTAACAGTCTCTCTGGCCCTGAATCACTTGCTCACTCCATTTGGTCAAATCAATTTGATCAACTTTACCTAGGCACCTAGACACTAGGGATATAAAGACAATAAATGAATGAATGAATGAATGAAAATGAATGAATGAAAAAACACAGAAAATATATATAAAACATAAAATATGTAACTATAATATAAAAAAAATGAAATTAAAAAATGAAAAACAGACCATATCCTCAAATAGCTTATACTCTGCTTGCAAAGTTCCCAAGCTTACAATGGTGGATAGGTAGAGATGAATGCGATACCCTAAGGACTAAGGTGATGTCATCCTCAAAATTAATTACATTTAGTGGAAAGAGTACTAGATTTGAGGTTCACATCCTCACTCTGCTGCTTCTAACCATTTGTATATTCTTAGGCAAATCATTTAGTGTGTCTGGGCCTCAGTTTCCTCATTTGAAAAATAAGGGGTAATCTCAGGGTAGAGAATTAGAAGACCTGTGCTCCCTTCTAACTTTGCATTTTTAGTTCTACGAATTAAATGCTAATCGTAGAGTTTCAAACTCCCTTAGTCAATGGGGAATTAGAAATGGTTAGGAGCCTTTCAAACATCGCTCATATTGGAATTTTTTTTTTTGTAGGCAATTGGGGTTAAGTGACTTGCCTAGGGTCACACAACTAGTAAGTGTGTCAAGTGTTTGGTCGGAGGCCGGATTTGAACTCAGGTACTCCTGACTTCAGGGCCAGTGCTCTATCCACTGCGCCACCTAGCTGCCCCCCATATTGGAATTTTTTAAAAAAATCTATCACAGCTTTTTAAATTATATTTAGATATTGCAAAAAAACAAAGGATAAAATCCACCCCTTTAGGTTACACAGTGCAAAATGGAAGCACCTCATTGTTTCAAAGGTGCAAAATCAAGAAAAATGTGTAGGCACAATAAATGTACCCAAAATTATTTTAAATACTATTTCCTGATATATTGTATTTAAATGATATATAAATCAGGTTATAGCAGATTTGAGAGGGGAAGAAATGAATTTTTTATTCCAACTTTAACTATAAATGAGGAATTTTGTTTTGGTACCTTTTGCAAGTTCCTCAACATCTGTGTCTTCTGTTCTTTGCCTTTTGGAGAAAACATTGCATTGTATGGCTGCCGCCTTTTGGAACATGGACAAGGATCAACATCTTCCTTAATGCACCCTCTGTCCACACAAGTTTAAGTTGAAGCAAACCCAACTGCCCAGAAATTTTCAGGTGTGTTAGGAGGAATATAGCAGAAACGACATTGTGAGCAGCAGGCTAGTTTCTTTTCTCTTTCAGATTGGAATATTTGAGCTGTCAGCTGACTCTGCCTTCCCACCAACCCTGCTCTGCTGCCCCTAGAACTTGACTCCTTTTATAAGCCTTTTCTATTATCTTAGTTTTCATTCTTTTGTAAGATGATGGGAAAATGAATCACTCAGATTAAATGATTTATCAAGGACTCAGAGAATGTTGAAATCACAGAAGGCTGTGGTTAAGGACTGTTGTTTTTAGGATGGCCTCAGACCAGATAAAATTCCTTTCCAATTAGTTAAATTATCGACATTTTAGCCCACATCTAAGCTCTCCTGGGTTGTTCTTTTCCTAGAAGATGTGAAATATGCTCACTTCCTTTTTTTTTTTCTCCTTAGCATGGCCAATTTAAAAATTGAGCTGTCAAAGTTAGACAGTGAGCCCTGGCCTGGGCACTTGGATGTTGAGAAGGAGAAACTGATGCTGATTAATGAAAAAGAAGAATTTCTGAAAGAGCTTCAGTTTGTTACACCCCGAAAACGTAGTCAGGGTGAATTGGACTACCTGGAAGGCCAGAGGAGGCTTCTAGAGGAAGAGCTGCTGTCCGTGAGAAACACACCTAGTCGAGCCCTCACCGAGAGGTATGTTGCATCCCTGTGGTCACCTCAAGCATTCCCCACTACAGCTTAACCTTTGCACCATTTTGTAGAATCTGCAGTAGGCTTTGATGAGCCATTTTCCTCCAGGAAACATTCCATGGAATGACTTAATGAAAGTACTACACAGGGACCTTCTGTATGGCCATCAAACACACACACACACACACACACACACACACCCCCTGATGTGTGCTTGGTCGCTTCATTTGTCCTGGGTTTGTTAGACTCTTGAAAATGCCTATTGTGATGGGTGTTAAATCACGAGGAATGTTAACATGTCATCAGATATGCAGTACATCATTTACTAGCTTTGATAACAATAGCTGTAAACTATTGCCCTCTGATAATGAAGATTATCTGGAGTGTTACAGCACCTGAAATTTCCTATTCTCAGTTTTATTACTCACAGGAATGCAGAGGTTATTGCTTTTTGTTTTGCAGAGAAAATACAACCTTCCCTAACTGCCTTTGATATTTTTACAGGTCACAGAATGTTCAATTGGCTTTTGTTTGTCAGTGGAAACCCCCCTCAGAAGCAGGTGCAAACGTGAAGGGGAAAACTTGAAGCAATTTTCAGACTTTGATGCAGTGGGAAGATGTAAATTGATCATTTAACCTAAAGAGGCCCATTTCTGTAAACCAATCATTTAGGAGGTATAGAAATAGAGCCTTTTAGATTAGGTTGCAATTAACTCCTCCGGTTAGGCTGTGGCAATATAGTCTCTGCTGATTAGGACAGGCAGACAAGGGTTTCTCCAAAGGCTTGGCCTTCCTTCCAGAAGCTGAGTTAGTGTGGGGATAAAGGGGGTCAAGAAACACAGAAGACACACACCCTTAGGGTAACCAACTGCTCATGAAACCTCTCCCTAATAGGGTCAAGGAATTCACATAATTTTTATTCTCTGTGACTTGTACAACCTTTTCAAATACCCACAGCCATTGGCTAAAATATGCTTGGGAATATTTTGTATTCCTCATTTATTTTGTGCTTTTTGTTTCTTTCTTCACTGCCAATACTGTGATGAAGGCTTTGCTTTCATGGACCTAAAATAAGTAGTTGGAAAGGAAAAAAATCAAAGAAGCCAGTTATTGGTGAACAAACTACATTAACTCAGTACTAAGTTTTGTTTTTTGAGGAGACATTTAATATGAAGCAATTACTCAACCAGCAGGAATAATTAGACCTGACCAGATAGAGAAGACTGCTGGTGATGATCTAATGTTAAAAATACTCTGGGATTGACTTTTCAACTTGATCTTTTTTTTTAATCTTAATTTACTTATTTATTTTTTGTTTTCAACATTCACTTTTATAAGATTTTGAGTTCTAAATTTTCCCCTCTCCCTCCTCTCCCCTTTCCTCAAGATGGCATGCAATCTGATATAGGCTATAGAACAGGTTAATTTTTGCAAATGGTTTTCTACGGTAGATTACCTTTTCCTAGTCTTAGAGTTAACTGGCAGACATAAAGAATATGAAGTCCAGGGGCAGCTAGGTGGTGCAGTGGATAGAGCTCCAGCCTTGGAGTCAGGAGAACCTGAGTTCAAATCTGGCCTCAGACACATAACACTTACTAGCTGTGTGACTCTGGGCAAGTCACTTAACTCCAATTGCCTCACCAAAAAGCCAAAAAAAAAAGTGAAGTCCTTCAGTGTTTATTGTTTGATGGATTTCTAAAAAGTATTCAGCTTGGTATAGAAAAATGTAAGGCAATGTTAAGGATTCTGTCCATGTGGTAGGAACAAGGAATATGTAAATGTAAAAATGTAAAAAGAAGCAATGGTAGATCCAGCATGTTGGGTAGGGCTGCCAGCAGTTCTTAAAGTGTAGTCTGACACTCTTTCAGGGGGTCCGCAAACTATGTTAATAATAACACTGACATTTTTTGAAGTGAGAGAAATAGTCATAGATATAACCCACAGAAGCAAAAGCTCTTTGTGCAGAAGTTCTCAATAATTTAAGAGTAAGATAAAAAAAGTTTGAGAATCTCTGCTCTATGGAAGATATAGATATGTCCTCTGTGGAGGATGTGTGGTAAGGGTATAGACAAGAAACCCATCGGGTGAGGCATAATGGATTAGCCGTGATCTGTGCCAGTGGAGGAAGTGCCTGCACCAATGAAATCACAGATCCACTAAAGTTCTGAAATTATCTCCTCATAAAACAGCAAAAAATGGTGGAGAGAGAAAAATAAAATAAGTAGTTGTAGAGAGCTTAGTTTGAGATCTGGTCATCCTGGAAACAGTTTTAGATAAAACTTAGAGAATGTCAACTACAGAACAGATAAGCTGTGTTGCCTTTAGTGTTATTTTTGTTGGTGATGACAGAACCACCGTATTTGTATTCTGTCAACTTAGTACCTAACATACTATGCAAATAAGGGTTAATAGCCAAAAAACAAAAACTAGACAATAAAATATCATTTCAGAGCTATTCAGGGATCATTTTTCAAGACATCTCAAAGAGTAAATGAGAATTGAGATCTCATATAGTAGCTTTTCCCACCTCTCCCCGCCTCAAAAAAAAAAGGTGATAGAGAAAGCAAATCCTGACAATACGAATTCCTATTTTCTCATCGTTATAAAATCTTTATTAGAACGGTCTATGTGCAGGGTAATGGTAGCCTTGATGAAAACAAGACCTAGAAAGTAAAATCTTACTGGTATTCTTACAGTAGGCCACATCCTTATAGTCATACAACTAATTGACGCGTTGAGAGCACATAATACAAGATCTTGCACTGTCTGTTTCTTAAAAAGCATTTGATTCAATAGAACCAAATGTAGTCTTAAAGACTTATTAAATAAGTTATCTCCTATGCATACATTAAAATTATATAAGACTATCAGAGGCAAGTATGTAAGAAAGTTTGTTCAGTTATCTTGCCATCAAACAAGATGTAAAACTGTGCTTTTCAGAGGTATTCACCAGCATCATAAAAAGATGACCTTTTGAAAAAAAGATGACCTTCAAATGGCATTAAGTATAGCCCACATTGGAACAAGAATCATTCAATCAGTAAACATTTATTAAGCACCTGCTATGTGCTAGGCAATGTGCTAAGCACTGGGGGTAAAAAGAAAAGCAGAAACACACACACACACACACACACACACACACACACACACAGATCTCTGTCCTTGAGGAGCTTTCACTCTAATCATCCCTATACTATTTTCCACATCTTGCTTTTGAAGGGAGATCTGTGATAAGGAGGAATCCACTAGCCCGTTCCAATTTGGACAGCTCAATTTGTTGGGATATTTTTCCTTAGACTGAGTCTAAATGTACCTCTTTCCATCTTGTACTCACTGTTCTTATTTCTTTCTGGGGCCTTCCAGAAAAAAAAGTTCTTCCACATACAAGTCCCTCAGATGCTTGCCAGGCCATCCCCAGTTGTCCTGATCTGTACCTGACCACTGGACCCAAATGGCTCCAGAGGAGAAAGTGAGGCTGGTGACTTTGCACAGCCCTCCCTCACTTCAATCCAATTGGCTTGCAAGTCATGGCATCATCTTCCTGATGTCATGGTCCTCTTCGAGAATGAAGGACAAACCACACAACCTTCAGATGCTTAAAGACAGACCCCATACTAAACAACCCCCCCCCCCGGCTGATCCTTGTGTGTTCTGATCTCCAGTGCACTCTCACCATCCTGCTTGCCTTCTAGTTACTGTCTACCATGTAGCACCGACTGGGCAGAGTCTTCCAGAGGAGGGTACAGGAAGACAGGTTGTGGTTGGATAGATTGACCATCACTTCCCTCCTGGGCACCCTGCTTCTCTTCATTCTACCTAGGATAGGTTTGGTTGTTGTGTCAAACTGCTGATTCACTAAAATCCCTAGAATTTCTTTTTTTAGATAGGAACTATTGTTTAACCATGCCTCCCCCATCTTGTACTTGGGAAGTTGATTCTTTGATCCCAGGTATAAGATTGTATTCCTTTTAAAATTTCAGTTTATTGTATCCTGCCTGTTGTTCTAGTCTGCAGATATGTTTTTTGTATCCCAGTTCTGTCATCTGACATTTTGGCCTGCCCTTCCTCCCAGCTCTCTGTCCTCGGACCTAATAACCATGCCAACCATGACCTACCCCAGATGGTTGATAAAAATGTTAAACAGCTTAAGGTCAAGAAGTGGCACTCCATGAAAGACCTCCCTCCAACTGTACACATGCCTGTTAATATCTAGCCTTTGCATTAATTGTTTCAGGTCTTACTTAAAAAAAAAAAAACCTAATCCAACCAACATTTATCATCTACCTTCCCTGTCCATGGTACTAAAGATGCAAAGATAAAGGAGGGAAAAGTGTCTCCCCTCAAAGAGCTTAAAGCTTAATAGGGTGGTAAGGCATGTACACAAATGAGTCTGATAAAAAGGAGAATGTTATAATGCCTAGGAAAAATCCAAATTGATTTGAGATAACCAAGGTAGTGTCCTAAAGATCTAGCTAAAAACCATCATGATCTCATGTAATAATGCATATGGAGGAGGGTTATATTTTTGTGTTCAGGTTGGCATCGAGGTATTTGAGACACTTGATAAAGACTATAGAACCACAAGTGTTTAATATGCTGCTAAAAACTTAATGTCAACAGTTCTCCTTGTGGCCTGAGACTGCACTGGGTCTTGGCTATACCTACAAGCAGCCTCCACAGGGGAGAACACGATGTATTCAGGTTGGAAAGTCCCTGACAGAAGCCATCCCTGCTGATAGGAAAGATATAGCATAATACTGTGTTTTTAATCAGGCCTGTACTTGATGGATAATTCAGCTATACAAGGAAGTGGATTTTCGTTTTAATCGCTTGGACTTTTGACTTCTTGTTTTGCATTCATGTTATATCTAAAATTTCTTTTTAATAGAGAAAGATTAGGATATGTGATTTCCCTTCTCATGGGGGCCAGGGAGAGGCAGCGCTGTGAAAATAGAGTGATAAAATAACTATATTTTTCAAATGTAAGTAGGTTTTGCGCAGCACTGAGGGTGAGGAGCTTGAGCCTCCTAATAAACTTGTGGTATCTGCATTTAGCCAGATTCTAGGTCTCATGGCCTCTTTCCCAGGTGGACATCATTAGCCTTCTGGAAACTTATGTCTTTTATTATTCTGTACTGACCAACTCTCCAAAGTGACCTTCTAATTCTGAGATGGTTATCCAGCACCCTAATAAACAAATACCAATCCTTTGGACCTGCAGCAATGGCCCATTGTACTTTTTTCATTCTCTTTCTTTCATTATGTTTTTTTTTACATATGTATGTGTGTATATATATATGTGTGTATGTATGTATGTATGTATGTATATTTATTTCTGTTTTGCCTTTTTTTTTCTACTGTTGAGTTAAAATGTAGCACCTTGGGAAGCAGTTTGTCCCTTCGTTGTCAAAAGAGGAGCAGTTAATGGCAAAGATGAAACTTATAAAAGGGGATTCTCTACATAAAAAAAATTCAGCATAGGTAAAATATGCTCCCCTTTCCAGTGGTTTCCTCTCAGTATCTCCACGCAACTATCAAACAGTTTCCTTGCTATGTCCCCCAAATCTTCTTCCACTTATAATGTGGGTTTTTCCTTTTTTTTTTTTTTCATGGCAGCATTTATCATCTCTGGTGGAGTAAAGCCCCTATGAATTTGCAGCCACTCTATGGGATTATATAATTCTGCACTTCGTGGGTTCTCTACACCACTGCCTTGTAATTTTTGCCTCACTTACTACATTACAACAAAGAATGTCCTCACCATCTTGTGGCTGAGCATATCAGGGAAATTTTCAGGTCTTAGAACTGTGATTTCATTGACATAGTGAAGCCGTGGTGAGAAAACTCCCTCTACCAACGCAGACCAACACTTACTTTGTTTTGCAGCTTATGTATGTAGTCTTAGAGAATATCCTGGTGCGCTGAGAAATTAAGTGCCTTTTGGGGTCACCCTCAGCCATAGGTCTTCCTGACTCTCTCTTCTTCTTGACTCTCTGCTCTTTCATCTATGCCAAAGTGCCTTTTTCTTATTCAGGAAATAGGGAAGCGTAATGGAGCAATCTTAGAAGATTACTAGGTAAAAATAATTGTTCATGGGGGAAAAGATGGACAATTTAGGACAATTTACATTTCTACCCCACATAGTATTACTGAAAGTATGAAGACACAGTGGTTTTTCACAGGATCCACAGTGGCTCCTATAGTAACATTCCTTCATATAACATTGTGGCTTTTAGGGTATTTCCCACAAATTTATAGGTCTTACCATTTTGGTTTTCTCAAAGCAAGTATATTAATTTCTTTTTAAAGAAGTCATAAAGAGGAAGTTGATGCCTTTTGGTATGTGTGGTTTTTTTAACCATTAAAATTACTTTAATGTCTGGTTTCTGAGAGTTGAAACAGAAATATGGTTCAACAAGTGAGACATCTGCTTATTGTTGTTAAAATAAAAAGATGCAAGCAACAGATGTTTGGAGAACCTACTGTGTGGACACCACTGTACCAGAGGTAGGGGGAAGATGGTGGAAAAGGGAGTGACAAAGAAATGGAATACATGGTCTTTACTTTCAAGAAGTTTCCAGTTTTGACAAAGGAGGCAAAAATAGAGACATCTGAAAAGTTAAAGAACAGCATTAATGACAAGACTAAGATGGAAAGAAAAATGTCACAGGGCACTGCATAATTAATTGCCAAGTGAATTTTTCAAGCAGTGATTTAATAGAAGTTCAGAAATGGAAGCACCCTCTGGGTCAGGATGGTCAGAGAAGACCAAGATTGCAACTTGCCTCGATTTTTTAAAATAACAGATCCTCACTTCTTAATGCAAGCATGCATTACATGCAGCCTTGATACAAAATTCTTTTTGTGAGATGTTCTGTTTTAAAAATTCATTAAAAAAATGTTTCTCTTTCAAAAGACATGGATTTTGCCAGCTACTTGGCTTTTTCCAGGCCTTTAAATACCTTTATTTTTAAGCTACTTATTTTATGTTGACTTTTTACTCCTCATTGGTTTTTTGTTTATTTTTGTCTCTTAAAAAAGAAAACACCCAACACCTGCCTCCACTACCTTCTAAAACATACCTTTGAAAACTGTGAAACAGAAATTTAACACCTCTTGAAGCATTAAAGAAAAATGCCAAGAATTACTTTTGATTTTAAAAAATAGTGATTGTGGTGTTGACACTTCCAAAGGGAGATGCTTATAAATAAAATATGGGCATGTTTCTCTAGTACCTAAAACATACATAATATTTCAAAGAGTTTAGAAATACAGAGAATTTTTTTTCTCTAAAGAAAATGAGCTGATTTTTACATTCATTACTCATTTCTATGTTAGGTCATTGTAAGGAAGCCTTACCTATGATCCCTAATAAATATTTGTCCAATTGAATTAGGAAAATAGATTTCAAATTTTTCATAGGTAGTGTACAAACTCTTCGTGGTAGCGTTAAAACCCGTATGCTTAATATGTTTCAAGGTCACTTTGTTTTTCCAAGTCTAGAATTAGCTCAATAAAATAATCTTTTTTTTAAACTCACAAACTCTTTTGCTGTTGAAGTGTTTTATGAGTAGGGATGACCTAACAGTCACTTTTATCTCTTCTTGCCTAAACAAACTGAAATTAACTTTATATCATGATTTATGGTGGGACTGTTTAAAATAATTAGTGTTTTTGTTCTTGATTGAAAATTCTATCCGGAGAATTTTTTCATCAACCCTAGAATGAAAGTTCTATTTCCTTACTAAATACAGTAAATTGGCTGGCTACTTATAATATTTAATTGTTACTATTTAACATTTCTATAATGTGAAACCCAGAAATTGTATATTAAATCTATACAGTATATGTATCCATGTATCTTTAAAGCTTTCTATCTGTTCTTACTTTCCTCCCATCCCTGATGGTTTGAGACAGTTTGATAATTAGTCCATTTTAAAATGACAATTTAGGTTTGATTTTGGTTTTAAAATCAGAATCAGGTTATTAGGTTCTTCTGTCTTGCTTAGTCTGGATATGCTTAATTCTCCTTATTTATTTCTGTTATTTCCTCATTTCTTAAAACATTGTTTCCACTAATTTCATTCTTTCCTAAATTATTGAATGTTGTTTCCATGGAAAATACTGCGCTAGATAAATACATTGGGAGGATAGAAAAAAATAAAAAGAAGACAGAATGGTCTCTGGCCCCTTTGAGCTAACAATTTAGGCTTTTGAGAAGTTATTTGTGTACTAGGAATATTTTCTTTACTCATATTTTTTTCTTAACCTGCCTAGCCTCATTCATTTACTGAAACAGTTTAAAATAATTACTCTTTATTGTGTTTTGCTAGGCTAAAATTGGAAGAGAGAAAAAAGGCACTGCTAAAAAGACTTGAAGAAACTACCAAATTAACTACTTATTTGCATTCACAGATTAAAAGGTGGGCCTGCATTTCATATTCTCACACGTGAGTTCTGTAAAGCTGTAGACTCGTTTTATCATTTTGGGGGCGGAGGACAGAGTAGGCTCCATTTATCTTTTGTTCTCTTCCACTTCTTTTTTTATTTTCTCGAAGTTGAAAATGTCATCTAGTTGGGATATACTTTGATGTTCTAAAAAAAAAAGAAGAGATGTTTGTATTAAAATATGGATGACTTAAAGGTGTATTTTTATAAAAAGTTTATAATCACATGGTTGTGAATATGTTCTGAATTTGAGTAAAGCCATTAGAATATCAAACTGTAGTTTTTAGGGACATAAAGAATATTTTATGCTTGCAAACTTTAGACTTTACAAAGACATTCTTTACTACTTGGAAAAAGACTTTTTCCGCTTCAAAGCAATTGCCTTTAAAAAAAAATAACAGCATATTTCCTCATGTTAATTGTTTAAAGATGCATTCCTTATGCATATCTTCCCAAAGAGAACAGAAAAGACAGGTACGGCACAGCCTTTGTTCAAATTCTTTGTCTTCATAGTCATGTTTCTCTAAAAATAAAAAATGAAAAAACCTACATTTGTTCCTGGAAACAAAATAACCAAAATGGACCCTTTGTATTTTAATGTATTTTCTCCTTTTCCCACACTTTTCTTTACTGTGAAGCTGTGTAGTAGTAGCTTCAGAAGTAACTGTACCAGCAAGTGTATTTATTTAATAGATGTTTGACCTTGGGATTTTTTTTGGTAAGATTTAGAGAAAGACATAATCATTTTTAACAAATGTAGAATTACTGATTACATATTAAAACATTCATAGGGCAAGAGTATAAATTCATGAGTAAATGTAGAAGAATATAATGATAGCCAGTGACTTATTTTATTTTTGGATACCATCCGTTCTCCTGCTGGCATTTGGAAGAAGAAAGGATTGTGGTCATATTTGCCAGATCTTTTAAATTTACATATTTTTAAAAATAAGTGTTTTGTGTCCGGTTTTTATTTCAGTCTCTCTGCCAGTACCTTGTCCATGTCTTCAGGAAGCAGTCTGGGGTCGCTGGCATCCAGTCGGGGGTCTCTGAACACCTCTAGTAGAGGGTCACTCAATTCCCTCAGTTCCACGGAGCTCTATTATAACAACCAAGGGGATCAAATTCCAGACTTGGATTATCAGTATAAACTGGACTTTCTATTACAAGAAAAAAGTGGTTACATTCCTTCTGGACCCATTACCACCATTCATGAAAATGAGGTGGTGAAGTCCCACAGCCAGCTGGGCTCCAGTGACTCATCTGGATCCTCTGCAGCAGGGCCTGCTTCAAAATTGACTGAGCCACCCAAATCTGTGACGTCCCTCTCCTCCAGATCCTCCCTGTCCTCCTTGTCGCCTCCTGGTTCTCCTCTAGTTCTGGAAGGTACTTTTTCTATGTCTGCCCAGGATACTCCTCTCCACCAACTCACCACAGACTTCGAAGACTGTGAATTGACTAGCCATTTTGCAGACATTGACCTTACCGAAAATCAGATGCTGCTGGACTCAGATGCAAGGGTAGCATCACAGGCTCTTGCGGAGGACAAAGATACTGACGAAGGTGTTAGGCAGTCTTTATCGCCATTAAGTGAAGGAACTTCAGGTAAATGGAAAAAAAATGCCATGAAATTGCTATATTGTCGGCTCCGTGGGGGTAGGGAATGGCACCTTCAGAGGGAAGTTATGCAGCCTTTTTCTTCTGTTTACTCCCTTGACTTTAATTTCGTAGGCAAAGGTAAGCACTTTATTTTTATTAGCACGCTGAGAAATAGTTTTGCTTTATTATAGAAAAATATCTCTCACTCTCTCTCTCTTTGACATATTTAATCACCAGGTGCCTGCTCTGGGTGGCATTTGAATTATGGCTAGCCAGATAGCATCAGTATTATCACATGTAGCTGGGAAAGCATCTTTGTACCCTAGTTCCTATTTCATAAAATGTATTTAGAGTCTGAAATATCATGGAAAAGAAGGGGGCTCACTTTTAAAAGATGGCTTAAGACAGATTAAAACTAAGGCAATTAGCATATCAGCTAATTAGCACCAGGGTTCGATGTCTAAGATGCTTAGGGAATTCTGTGTGAATACTATTTTTGTCTCCTGCCAAACTCCCCTGTTTGTTATAAAGCCAGCTCTGAAAAGTATTTTTGGATGTACAGTATTGCTCTGCCATCTTCTGGCCACATTAGTAATTGACAGTCTAGACTGGAGAGGATTCACAATGTTGGCTTCTTGTGGCTGTGGTTAGCTTGAAGTTGGAAAATTCAGGCTCCATTTGAATTGTCTCCTCTAGCAGGTCAGAAAAGGCTTTGTTTTATTAGGTATACTGGTCAACCCACCAAAGTGAAGAGCTCTTTCGAGATAATCATAATGCACCAGAGTAGTGTACTAACAGCTTGATTAAAAAATAAAATAAATAAAAGATACATTTCCTTATTAGAGGCCAGAATAATAATGTCCAGAATCTGCACATTTTATATGCTAATATTAACATATTTTATTAGCATATACATATTACTATCCTTTAGGAAATTGAGTTTTTTTAAAAAATAAGTATTTTGGGTCGTTCTTTCAAAAGGCACTTTCATATCTCTTAATTGTGGAACACTACGTCTTTTTCATAGGTCCTTCATTTTATCCTTCTTCCAATCCTCCAGAAGATCTGTGATTACATTGGTGCAGGGCCTCCTTTTATTACTGCAGTTCCTTTTCCCTTTACACCTTAAGAGAGCCCTTTATAAGTTGCTCTGGCCTAAAAATGTCACCTACGTGATCAGCCTTCTGGTGATGAACCTGTCTGACTTTGCTAGGCAGATCCAGGCTTCACTCGAAGATTTTTAGTGAGAGAGACCCCACTGCCCCTGGAGGGAACTTGTTCCAATTTTGGATAACTCTAATTGATAGATAGTGTTTCCTCCTATCAACCTTTCCACTGCTGCCAGCTGTTTTCCCACTTCCAGACCCATCCATCACCATGCTTTGCCTCACCTGACCTGCATATTCCCTATTTCTTTCTTTTTTCCGTTGCCCTGGCTGTGCTACCCTATTCCATGAAAGCACCAGACTGTTTCTGACTTAGTCTCACTTTTTCCTTTCGTCTGTTATTCTGGTTTCTGTTTTAAAGAGGGAGACAGACAGACAGATTATCATACACTGTGACTCTCCTGGTTATAGTCTCAAAATACTACAGCAAGGTTGCCTTTTCCCTTAACAACATAGCTAAAAATATTAGCTTTTTTTCCATACATCTTCTTACATTCTCAAAATATTTCAGCCAAGTCCCCCTTTCCCTTAACAAGATATCTAAAAATATTAGCCTTTTTTCATACATTTTCTTACATTCTCAAAATTATTTCAGCAAAGTCCCCCTTTCCCTTAACAAGATAGCTAAAACTTTTAGCTATTTTTCCATATATCATCTTACATTCCCAAAATATTACAGCAAGGTCCCCTTTTCCCTTAGCAAGAGAGCTAAAAATTTTAGCAATTTTTCCACATATCTTCTTACATTCTCAAAATATTTCAGCAAAGTCCCCCTTTCCTTTAATAAGATAGCCAAAAAATTTTTAGCTGCTTCTCCATATATCTACTTACATTCTCAAAATATTTCAGCCAAGTCTCTCTTTTCCTTAACAGGATAGCTAAAACAATTTTAGCTGTTTATCCATATATCTTCCTACATTCTCAGAATATTTCAACCAAATCCCCCTTTCTCTTAACAAGATAGCTAAAACAATTTTAACTATTTATCCATGAATCTTCTTAACATTCTCAAAATATTTCAGCCAAGTCTCCCTTTCTCTTAACAAGATAGCTAAAACAATTTTAGGCCATTTTCCCCAAATATCCTCACCCTCTACTAGCTGTTTCCCAAGGTCCAGGTTTCCTCCCCTTTTTCCTTCTTTTTTTACCCTCACCAGTATTCATAAGAGGTGTAGATTTATACCTGAAAGGGACCTCGGAGGTCATAGAGTCCAGGCCCCTCATTTTAGAAATGACAAAACCAAGGCCTGGAGAGCTTAACTGACTTGCCCAGGGCCATTCTACTAGTAAATGTTTGAGGCTAGATTCAGCCCCAGAGTTTCTCTTTACCTACTACATGGGGTTGCTTCATTTCCCCATAATAGCGTGAGGTAGAGTATGAGGTGGATCCCAACAGATTCTCCCTCTTCCCATTTTAGGACAGTTTAACAAAAAATTTTTCTGGTTTCTTTTTATTGGAAGATTAAGTGAGATATTTGTAAAGTGCTTTGCAAACCTTAAAGTACTATATTGATGTTAGCTATTAGAGGGTGGTGGTGGGGACTCAATGTGGTTCTCTGAGAAAGTACATTCTAAGACTACTATCCAACTCTCTCTCTCTCTCTCTCTCTCTCTCTCTCTCTCTCTCTCTCTCTCTCTCTCTCTCTCTCTCTCTCTCTCTCTCTCTCTCAGGCAGTTGGGGTTAAGTGACTTGCCCAGGGTTACACAGCTGCTCAGTGTCAACTATCTGAGGTCAAATTTGAACTCAGGTCCTCCTGACTCCAAGGCCAGTGCTCTATCCACTGTGCCACCTACTTGCCCCCAAATCCCTTCACCCTTAACTAGTGTGTGACCTCTGAGTTTCTGTATGGTGCTGTGACCTCAAAGAGCTAACTCCTGGAGACACCTGGCTCTGGCACATTTACACTGATACTAGTACATGGTATTTTGCTCATGCACAGATACTCAAAAGTTGGGCAAGGATAACAGGGGCAAGCTACAATCACGTGCTCATCTGTGCCAACCTTCTCCATAATAAGCCTAGAGAACAGTGTCAGTCCACATTCACCTGCCCACCTGTGCCAGCCTTCTCCATAATAAGCCTAGGGAACAGTGTCGGTCCACACTCACCTGCTCACCTGTGTCAGCCTTTCTGTAATAAACCTGAACGTTTTCTATCTCTTCAGACCTTTAAGATCCCAGGATCTCTTCCATAACCCCAGCGAAGGCTTCAGAGTGGGACTTCAGTCTTGACTTGAGAAAATGGTGGCAGTGTCTTAATGGCCCTGTCACTGAAGGCTCTGACTAGTCTTAAACATCTAAGATTGATGCCTTTCGGCTACCATCACAGCCTAGGGCTTGGTTATAAGCTCTTGTTTATAGACTGTCCCCTCCTCGGTATAGTAAGATCCTTGCATAGGTATGACTCAGCTAGGTGGTATACTGGAAAGAACATGAAGCCTGGAGTCAGTAAGACATGAATTCGAACCCAGCCTCAGACACTTACTAGCTATGTGACTTTGGGCAAGTTGTTTAACCTCTGCCTCAGTGTCCTCAGCTGTAAAATGGGGATGATCATAGCAGTTTCTGTCCAGGGTTGTTGTGAGGATCAAATGGTCCAACTGTAAAGCTCTAAGCATAATGCCTGGCACACAGCAGATAGTATAGAAATGTCAGCTGTTATCATCATTGTTATTATTATTGTCACCTCTTTTTACAAACAGTCTGCTTATGTCAAACACATACGATGCAGTGGATAGAGCAGGAGTTAGGAAGATCTGAGTTCAAATCCAGCCTCAGACCCTCACTGTCTGTGCAACCCTGACAAATCATTTAACCTTATGTTTGCCCTGTTTCCTTATCATGATAGCGTCTCCCTTCCAGTGTTGTTGTGAGGATAAAATGAGATAATAATTGTAAAGCACAGGGACAGCTAGGTGGTTCAGTGGATAGAACACTGGCCCTGGAGTCAGGAAGACCTGAGTTAAAATCCAGCCTTAGATACGTAACATTCACTAGCTGTGTGACTCTGGGCAAGTCACTTAACCCCAATTGCCTCACAAAAAAAAAAGGAGGGAATTTCTTGGGGGCAGCGAGATGGCACAGTGGATAGAGCACTGGCCCTGGAGTCAGGAGGACCTGAGTTCGAATGTGACCTCAGACATTTAACATTCACTAGCTGTGTGACCCTGGGCAAGTCACTTAACCCTGATTGCCTCACAAATAATAATAATAATTGTAAAGCAACTTAGCACAGTGCCTGGCACTGTTACCTATTATTAAAATAGCAAGCCTGTAATAGGCCACCAAGGCAAATGATGTAAGCGTTAAGAAAACTCTACATGAAGGCTCTAGTGATAGAGAAGTGAGGAAGCCGGAACAGAGATTATGAAGTTCACTTTGCTTCTTTTCTTCTGCATTTGAATATGTAACATGAGTCACTTAAATTTACTGTGCTGAGCACAAATACTGTGAGTCACTCATTACCTGAGGTATTTACAAAAGAAAAGAGAAAATAAATCTACTTGTGTCATTTCTTTTTCCTGTGGACTTTTAGAGGCATGGGTACTCCATATGTCTTTCTCTTTCCCTCAAAATGTCTTATTTGCAGCTTTAAAAATATGCTTGCTCTCCATACTTGTTAAAGAATATAAAATCCCCCATAACCTTTGCTTAGCAAAGAGAAAATTTGGAAAGGGGGAGTAATCCCTAAAAGCAGAGCAGACAAGATGTTGCCTAATTAAGAGGAAGGGAGCACCTGGTTCCACAGGTGGTCTTGCCTTGTGGTCTTCTTGCTACACACAAAGCTGTGGTTTTCCTGCTGGGTACACGTATGTGTTCCAAGCCAGGTAGAAAGTGTTGCTTGGTGAAAATAGATTCAAGAGCTTTGATTGTAAACTGAATAAACTTGGGGCAGCTAGGTGGCACAGTGGATAGAGCACCAGCCTGGATTCAGGAGGACCTGAGTTCAAATCTGGCCTCACACACTAACACTTACTAGCTGTGTGACCCTGGGCAAGTCACTTAACTCTGTTTGCCTCAGTTTTCCTCATCTTAAAATGAGCTGGAGAAGGAAACGGCAAACCACTTTAGTATCTTCGCCAAGAAAACACCAAATGGGGTCACGAGGAGTCAGACACACCTGAAGTGAATGAACAACATTAGTTTTTAAGTGGGAGCACCAAAACTTGAACATCTGCTGACTCCAAATTCAGTCACTGCCCCTTATGTTGAACTAGGAGTTCAGGGGAAGGCTTCACGGAGGAAATAGAAGCTGAGTAATTGTAATTAGAAGGAAGTAAGTAAGGGATAGTCCATCTCAGATACAGGTGATGATGAGAACAATGCCAAGCATCATGAGAGGAGAGGGCATGGAGTTAAGAACCAGGGACAGACAAAAATTAAATCTGACTGGGAAGCAAACTGCCCATGAAGGATTAACAGCATATGATATGGCTCAAAAGGTAGGTTGCAGCCAGATGGTGGGTGTCTTCTAAAGCCAGGAGTAGACTTTGTTCAGTACGCATTGGGGAGCCATTGAGGGTTTTTTTGAGTGGAGAGGTGACAATGTTGACATCTTTTGTCTTTGACCTGAATTGTACTTCCTGGTACAACAGGAAGATTATTCACACAGCAGTATGAAGACTACTGGAGAAGACATAGACCGGGAGGAAGGCAGAGAAATCAGTTAGGAGGCTCTTACAGTGGTCCCGATGTTAAGAAATGTGAGCTTGAACTAGGGTGGGTGCAATTTGAGTAGAGAGAATGGGGCAGATACTAGAGAGAGGTTTTTGAGTTAGAATGAACAGGAGTTGTCTAGTGAATCAGGATTTGGGGGGTCAGGGAGAAGAAAAACTAGAAATGGTTCCAATGTGAAGAGTCTTGGGCTGCTGGAATTCACATCAACAGAAATTAGAGACATTAGGCAGAGTTTTGGGAGGGAGACGAAGTTGGTGGAAATGTGTGTTCAGTTTTAAAGTAATTCTTTTTTTTGGGGGGGGGATGAGGCAATTGGGGTTAAGTGACTTGCCCAGGGTCACACAGCTAGTGAGTATCATGTATCTGAATCCAGATTTGAACTCAGGTCCTCCTGACTCCAGGGCCGGTGCTCTATCTACTGCACCAGCTGGCTGCTCCCTATGTGTTCAGTTTTAAATAGATGTCAAGAGGACATCCAGGTAGAGCTACCTGACCATAAGTTAGAGGTTGAAGACTAAGGTTCTAGAGAAAGACTGGAAGTAAATTTGGGAGCCAGGTCCATGTGGGTAAGAGAGGTGAAGGAAGATGAATACAAGATTTAAAAAAAAAAAAGGCCCATTAGCTTTTGCATGAGGAAGTTATTAGTGACCTTGGAGAGAAAACTGTCTCAATAGACCAGCAGGGTTAAAGCCTAGGCTACAAAAGTCTCCATGCTTGGTGTGCTCAGAGGCCATCCTGACTTGAATGTAGGGGCAGTTTGGCTCCCTAAAGGGTCCAGTCTGGAATTTCCAGGTGAGGAATGTTGGGTCTAAGGTGTGCTGGGATGACAATAAACCACGATGGTCACAAGAAGCTGCTCTCTGGCTCCTGAGCGCTTCCTACATATTCGGTGTTAAATAAATGTTAAACTGAGTTTAACTGTTAGACTGCTCACCTGCTCAGTAGTCAAGCCCTTTTCAGGCTGCCCTGTGGAGGTGAAGTGTGGTTCCTTTTATATATATTTTTTGCTCTCCAGCACTGGTCCCTGCTGGATGGCAGAAACCAAGTTGGAATAGTTGTAAAGGCCTTCTACTGTCAGTCTCTGTCATTGTCAAAGTCAATTTCAGGCTGCCATGGTTATTCCTGGGGGTATTCAATAAATCATGCCATCACCTTCACCCTCTCACCAAGGGGGGTTGGTGGGGAGAAGGCATTTCATCATCAAGGAACAAAAGCACCCCCACTGCCAGAAATAAAAGGGAAAACGCAGCAATCAATCCAGTAATCGGAAGCCTTAAAACTTAAACATCTTAACAAGATGTAAAGTCATGACTCAGAAGGGGGGCGTAATGCATACCAATACGGGTGCTTGCTCACGGAAAGATAAAAGAACTCCACAGGCTTTTGCCTTATTACAGTTCAGAACCCAGCTTTAAACGAATGCTCCTTGCTCTTGGCAGGATGCTCATGTAGGAATATGAGGCTGAGATAAAAGTTAAATGCTATGTGGTGCTGAAGATTCAATAGCACAAATTTTTTTTTAATGGTAGCAACTATATTAAGAATTCTTGTAAGTCAAAAGGCAGTTAAGGTTTTTTTTTTAAATTTTTAGTAAGTGGGATGGCAATAAAGATGGAAAATATGGAAAGGGGAATGTAATGCAGATGGCAACCTTTCTTAATGTTGAATAAACAGAATTTCTGTGTCATAGAGATATTGCCAGTGCTCAAAGGAGACAAATAATTCCTGGGCCTCCATGTAAGACATGTTTCATGAAACATGGCGTGTGCTAGATGGCAGGTTAGATTAAAACTTCCATTTTGAAAGGATTTGAAAATACCTTGATATATCCTATAGTTTATCCTCTAGACTTGGGGTGGGGAACCTGCAGCCTGGAGGCCACATGTGGCCTTCTAGGTCCTTGGGTGCGGCCTATTGACTGAGTCCAAGTTTTACAGGACACATCCTTTTATTTAGGGGGTTTGTTCTGTAAAGTTTGGATTCAGTCAAAGGGCCGCAAAACAAAATAATATGGTAGAGTGTCAAAGTTGTCTTTTGTCTTTGACCTTAATTGTACTGCCTGTTAACGTGAACTTTATTTACATTGTGTACATTTTTCTTCCGAATCTGCATTATGTACGCTAAGTTCTTCATATCAGTCGTTTTTCAGTCTTGTCTGACTCTCCATGAACCCATTTGGGGGTTTTCTTGGCAAAGACACTGGAGTGGTTTGCCATTTTCTTCTCTAGTTTGTTTGACAGAGGAGGAAAACTGAGGCAAACATGGTTAAGTGACTTGCCCAGGGTCACACAGCTGGTGTCTGAGGCCAGATTTAAACTCAGATCTTCCTGACTCCAGGCACAGCACTCTGTCCCCTGCAGCGCCACCTAGCTGCCCTTTCTCGCTCATTACAGCGTAGCTGTATTATTACATTAATAAGTCATTATCTATTCAACCATTTCCAAATCTTCAAGGCATATGGAAGGGTTTTTTTTCCATATTTTATTATAACAAATCATGCAATTGTGATTTTTTTTTGTTACTGTCAGAAACCTCCCTGTTCTACCCTTTCATTTTATGGATGAGAACACTGAGGGCCAGAGAGGGAAAGTGACTTAATCTAGGTGACTGGGCGATGCAAGTCTAGAGCTCTAGACATAGTAAGACCAGAATTCAAATCCCACCTCAAACATTAGTCATATGACTGTGGGTAAGTCATTTCACCTCTCAGCCTTAATTTTTTCTATCTGTAAAATGAGTATGATAATAACATTACTTTAAGGGTTGTTGTGAAATTCAAATAAGATATTTTCGAAAGCATTTTACAGACCTTGCTATCTAAATGCTGGGTGTAATTACTATCGTCCAGAGTCACCTTGGAATTTATTTGTAGCGCTCACTTTTTGATTAGCTTGTACGTCAAAGTTGTATTTGTCCTATTCACAGCATTTTATGTCTTCTGTATCTTTTGATTTGATATCTATTGGTTATTGATCATTTGAGTTTTGATTATTAATGTCTAAAGACACTCAGGAAGTGCAGCCCAGTTTGGTCTGCCCATGAGCCACGCTTTTCCTAATAAAAATCCCTGATGGTTGATCTCGCTCTGACCCCTTAGGTGCTGAAGAGCAATTTCCAAGGAGGACAGTAGGCCACTTACTGGAAGAGAAAACAGCTTGCGTGTCTGCTGCTGTGTCTGACGAGTCTGTGGCTGGAGACAGTGGTGTCTACGAAGCATCAGTGAAACAGTAGGCTTCACTAGTAATGATCGTTAGCTAAATGCATCTCATTCATAATAATAGCACATGCAGTTTCAAATACGATGGCTTTGGTGCTGTGCTAGATCTGTTAGTCTGAATTTAAAAAAAAGTTCATGGTTAAAGAGTTGTTGTGGCTGCGAATTTGGAACTCAAAATTAAAAAAGAACACGAATGTTAAAAACTGCTTTTGTGTGTAATAGGAAAAAAATAAAATATTAAATTAAAAAAAAAAAGAAATGTTGTGGCCAAAAATCTCCTTACAGTAAATAGTGAGGTATATTATTAATTAGCTTGTCATGACTAGTGCTGTGTTTTACTTTTCACAAAACGTTGTCTGAGCCTGAAAGCATATTTTTGTTTTATTGAGGAACTTTGGGAGTGATTTATATCATACACATGCTGAATGGATAATTCTTGTTTGATTTGTCTAGGAGTTCGTCAGCTTGAGTAATCATACTGTATCAAGAATCCTAGGGGATCCTAGCTACCTATCCAGACTATAGTCTTTTCTTGAGTGTCCTGTGTTTCTTTTCTTATTTAACTCAAAAAAAATCTGTATCTATCTATCTATATTTATATCTATATATGTATGTATGTATATCTATATGTATGTACATATACCTATGTATACATATATACATACATACGTATATGTATTGCGCACTCTTTCACTTGGGCAGATAAAATGGCTGTGATTGAATGTAGATTTCAAAGATCTATCCTGTGGTCCATATGGGTCCACTTACATCTTCTCTCTCATTTGGAGATCGTCTTTGAGAGTTGCTATGCCTGAGTTATAACTGACATGGAGCCTTCTCATATTTAAATAGGTAGGTCCTCAAACAGTTTGGAAAGGAGTCATTGTTGTTTATTCAGTTGTATCTGGCTCTTCATGACTGTGGGCCGCTGTCTTTGGGGTTTTCTTGGCAAAGACACTGGAATGGTTTGCCATTTCCTTCTCCAATGGGTTAAGGCAAACAGAGGTCATGTGATTTGCCCAGGGTCTCACAGCTACTGAGTGTCTGAGGCTGGATTTGAACTCAGGTCCTCTTGACTCCAGGTCCAGAGGTTTATCCACTGAGCCACCAAGGAGCCATTACAAGCTTCAAGTAGACCTTAAAGCCTTAAATCCAATTTGCTCTGGATTTCTTGGATTTAACAACAATAGGTCCCAGGCCAAGCACCACTTAATGGTTATTTTTTGGCCAGCAACACTGAAGGTCTTCCCCTCCCAGTTTGATTTTTAAAAAAAAATATTATTATTAAAGGAGACATCCCTTGACTCACTTCTTAAAGAGGCCTATTCATGGAATGGGCATTGCCTCACTCAAAGGGAGAACCTGAAAAGACTTTAGTTTAAAAGGGCTGAGGTTTCCCACTGCATCCTGGGCCATCTCCAGTACATAAGACCACCATTGATGAATATGTATCTTCATAAATCTGGTGTTGCTGTAGCCCGGCCTCTTCATGAAAGCCTGGGTTAATTCCCACATTGCAATGAGTTATCAGAGTAGAGCTTAGAACAAAGACCATCTCCAAATGATAGAGGAGCTGTAAGTGGACCCATATGGACCAAAGTATAGACCTTTGAAATCTACATTCAATTCATTATTTTGTCTGCCCAAGTGAAAGAGTGCATAGTATATCTATATCTATATCTATACTTATATATAGATATAGATAGTTCTATAGATATATGGCACTTGACCATATCAAACTTGTTTATCTCTATTCCTTGATTTCTTCTCCATCTCCAGCTACCTGTGTTTGGTGGGCATGGTCTTTAGTGTTACTTGGTCAAGCCAGTCATTCAAAAATATCTCTTGCCTCTCCTCCCCTAAGGAATCACAGTGAACCCTTTTTAAAGTGTACTTAAGTTACCAAAAGAACAAGTCTTCTAATCATTAATACTACCTGTACATTGAAAGGGCTCTGCTCACTTTTATTTTCTTTTAAAAGAGATATGCAATCAGATTATATGAAATACAGTGCTAGGTAGCAATCATTTTTCAAATTACTTGCCTTTTTCCTCTTAGACCTGGTGAAATTGAGGATGTTCTCTATTGTGAAGATGATGCTTTGATTCTAGAGACCGCTCAAGTGCAGATAGGACTCAGGTAAAAAAAAATCTGCAAATTTTGGGGCAGGGGAGTAACTCTTTTATAATGATAATATTTATAACAGATGTCTATCTTAACACTTGAACATTTGCAAAGTTCTTTACATTACATCCTAATTCAGTAAAGAATGACCTAACATGATCCTTTACTTTTCAATCTTTTTTCATTTTGGCAGATATGATGCTAAGAGTTCCAGTTTAATGGTGATTGTAGTACAACTCCGAAACCTTCATGTCCTCTCTATATCTCAGAGCTCAAGAGTGTAAGTGAAAATCATCAATGCTAAATGTAATAAAAAAACAAAAACAAAAAAACCAAAACCCGAATATTCAGTAGCACTATGGGTGCTCCTCATCATGGCTGCCCCAGACCCTGGGGGTGGTATCCTACTGGACCCACATGAACCCCTGGCCTCACATTTAGCCATCAGGAGGCAGAAAGAGTAGCCACTGAGAATGTAAGAGTCTGCACATCACTTAAGCAGCTTAAAATTGTCCTGAGGCAGAGGTTAATGTATTTTAATTGTGCTTGTTTAAGCCTAGAGGTTATTATGTTGGAGGAGAGCAATTTAGCAAAATGAAGTAGCGCTAAAGAAATAAGGTCAGTTGTTTCAGCTCAACACCAAAGTGTATAGAAATAGAAGATATTTATAGTGCCTTTAAAAAAAAGTTTTATCTTTTTACATCATGCATATTTCCCCCTCTATCCCATCCCTCCCCATCCCAGATTCCAAACAAAATATTTTTTAAAAGAAAAAGGTGACAAAACTTATCAATGCGTTGAAAAAAATCTGACCACATACATAGAATTCTATACCTGCTGACCCTCCCCTTCCCACAGCCATGCCTGGCCCTCTCCTTGGTAAAGGAGAGAGGATAGTGTCTCTTCATATCTCTTCTTTGGAGCCAAGCGTGCCCTCTGTCATATTACAACATTCTTTTTCATTTGTTTTGTGTTAGCTGTTCATGCCATTTACATTGTAAGTGTATAGTACATGTACGTTTACATTATGTAAATTTAATGTAAATGCCATTTACATTGTAGTTATGTATGGTGTTTTCCTACCTCTGCTTACTTCACTTTGCATTAGTTCATCTAAGTCTTCCATGCTTTTCTAAATTTGTCCTATTTATTGTTTCTTACAGCACAGTAATATTCTTTTACGTTCATGTGCCACAATTATAGGGCATCAGCTTTGTTTCTAATTTTTGTTTGTTTGTTTTTGCTTTGGAATTAAAAAAAAATTTTCTTCCACTTCTCAAGTTTTTATTTATTTTCATTAATTAACTTATTTTTGGTTTTCAACATTCACTTCCATAAGATTTTGAGTTTTAAATTTTCTCCCCCTCTCTTGTTTCTAATTCTTTATTGCAATGAAAAAAAAATGCTTCTATAAATATTTTGATATATTTGGGGTCTTCCTTTTCATCAGAGACCTTCCTGAGATATGTGCCTAGCAGTAGAATCTGCAGGTCAAAGAGTATATGGACATTTTAGCCACTTCATTTGCTCATTTCCAAAAGAATCATGCTAAATCATAGCTCCACCAACAATGCATTGTTTGCCTCTCCCTCCAAACCCCACCCAACACTGACTATCTCTTTCTTTTGTTATCTTTGCCAGTTTTCTGGGTCCGAGGTGAAAGCTCATTGCTGTTTTTATACGCATTTCTTTTACCATTAGTAGTCTAGAACATTCTTTCATCTGGTTGTTAATAGTTTGCAATATTCTTTTAAGAACTATGTTTTATTATTCTTTGACCATTTATCTACTGAGGAAGGATTTTTAGTCTTCTGTGTTGTGTTGTGTGTATGTTTCTATACATATACATACACACATATACACATACACACATCTGGTACCAAACACTTATCTGGGAAACTTGATACAAAGATTTTTTTTTAATTCAACTACTTTTATTTTTATCTAGATGCATTGATTTTGTTTGTGCAGAAGCTTTTCAATTTCAAGAAATAAAATTCTCTATTTTATCTTTCATAATGATACTCTTCTATTCTTTTGTTTGATTAAGAATTTACCTATATTTCTGGAAGATTTATGACCTACTTCTCTTTAAATATGTTTATAATACGATCTTAAATATTCAGGTCTCATATCGATTTTGAATTTATTGTGATATATGGTGTAAAATGTTATTCTAAACCCAATTTCTGCCAGACTATTTCCAGTTTTCTCAGCAGCTCTTATCATATAGGGAATTCTTTCCTAAGTAATTTATGTTTGGGGAGTTGTCAAAGAAGAAAGTAAGAAGACAGTAAGCATTTATATGGTGCCTGCTATGGGACAAGCATTGTGTTAAGAGCTTTACAAATATTATCTCATTTGATACATTCTCACAACAACCCTATGAGGTAGGTAGGTGCTGTTATTTCCCTGTTTTACCAGTACGTAAACTGAGACCAAGACGGGGGTAAATGACTTGCCCGAGGTCACATAGCTTGTAAGTGTCTGATCCTGGATTTGAACTTGGGTCTTCCTGACTCCAGACACAGCACTCTGTCCTCTGTATGACCTAGCAGTCTCCTATGTTAGTGAGTTCTCTTTTCAATAGATTTTTCACTTGTCTTATCTGTTCCATTAGTCTACTTTTTAAAACTACCAAATGGCTTTGACCACTAATGCTACATCATATAGTTTGAGAGCTGGAAGAGATATTCCTCCCTTTATTTCTATCTTTTTTATTGTTTCCCTGATATCCCGGATCTTTTGTTCCTCTGAATGAATTTTCTTACTATTTTATCAAGTTCTATAAAGTATCCCTTTGACAGTTTCATTGGGATAGTATTATAATCATAAATTAACTTTGGTAATGTTGCCATTTTTATTATGCTGACATGGCCCAGCCATGATCACTGAGTATCATCCAGCTAAGCCAGTCAATGTTTCTTTAAGAAACACTTCGTAATTTGATCTATTGTATACAATTTTGTGCATTTCAGCAGAACATCAAATTTTTTTTTTGTATTTTGTAGTTATTTTGAATGAGATTTCCCTATTATTGCTTCTTGGATTTTGTTATTATTTAGAAGTACTGTTGATTTTTGAGGATTTATTTTGTAGCCTTTAACTTTACTAAAGTTATTAATTGCCTCTATTAGTCTCTTTGCTGATTCTGCAGGATTTTCTAAGTATGCCTTCATTTCATCAGCAAAAAGGGATAGCTTTATCTCCTCTTTACCTATTCATTTCTTTCTTTTGTTTTATTGCTAGCATTTCTATTTTGTTCAGTCGTTTTCAGTTGTGTTTGACTCTTGTGACCCCATTTGGGGGTGTTCTTGGCAAAGATACTGCTGTTTCCTTCTCTGGCTCATTTTACAGATGAGAAAACCGAGGCAAACAGAGTTAAGGTTCTAAGCCTAGAATCACAAAGCTAGTAAGTGTATGAGGTCAGATTTGAACTCAGATCCTCCTAACTGCAGGGCCAGCACTCTATCTACTGCACCAAATGGATACTTTAGCATTTCTACAACCTTATCAGATCGTAGTGTGAAAAGCAGTACTTATATTTATTGGGAAAGCTCCTCGTGTATCTCTATTATATATGATACCTGTTTTTGATTTTAGGTACATATCTTTAATGACATTAAAAAGTGTGCCAGGGGCACCTAGGGGCCACAGTGGATAGAGCTCCAGCCTTGGAGTCAGGAGGACCTGAGTTCAAATGCAGCCTCAGACACTTGACACTTACTAGCTGTGTGATCCTTGGCAAGTCACTTAACCCCAACTGCCTCACCAAAAAAGAAAAAAAATTTTTTTAAAGATCCCCCCCCCCCATGCTCATGTTTTAGTGATTGTTGTCAAAGGTTTTTTCCTGTATCTGTTGTGATGACGATGTGGTTTGGAACATTTTTCTTTTTAATATGATCAGTTATGTTGATTGTTTTCTTAATGTCCCATCCTTACGTTGCTGGCAGAAAGCCAACTTGGCCATCATGAATGATTTTTTGGATGAATTACACTAGTCTGTTGGATAGGATTTTATTTAAAATTTTTAAATTGCTAGAACCTTCTTTCCAGGACACTGTTGAAAAATTATTTTTTTTCTGTGGGACGGCTCCCTGGCAGGAGATATGGAGAAGAATACAGCAGCAAAATTAGATAGTGTGAAAACAAAAGATATAATTTTTTTTCTCAAAAACCTTAAAGTTGGGGATTTTTTAAAGGACTCCTTTATTTTATTCTTAGGGGCAGCCTGGTAGAATGATGAACTTGGAGTTAGGTTGCCTTTGTTTGATCCTACCTCAGCTGCTACTTATATAACCATGGGCAGGTAACATAACTCTACCCCCGATGAAAGTTGTAACTCAGACCTTAGAGCATTGTGGGTTTGGAAAGTGCTTTTCAAACCTTAGAACTTTCTATATGTGAATACAATTCAGCAAGCAGTTGTTTAAATACCAGCTATATGCCAGGCATTGTGCAAGGGATACAAAGGGGATAAAGAGATATCATTTTTATTATTGCTATTGTATTTGTAATCCTAATTCACCTCCATTCTATTCAATAAATATTAAGCACCTACTATGTGCTAAACATTGGAGATATAGATAAGAAAAAAAGATGGTCCCTGCCCTCAAAGAGTTTACAATCTAATGAGGGAAGATAAGACACAAAAGGAGGCTGAAAAGTGGAGTGGGAGGGCACCAAGGGTTACCTGGTACAAGGTTTGTTCCCTGAAGTCAAATCCAAGCGAACAGCTCATGGAAAATGGAATCGCCAGGATCGCTAGAAGCCCTCTACAAAGGAAGGCTTTGGGGGGCATTTTAATGCTTCACCCTCCAACTGAGGGGAGAATTGGGGAAGTGAAGAGTGTCAGAACCTGAGCTGTTGTCCTTGTGAAGAGAATTCAGATTTTCAGTGTGTCCTGTTCCCCAGAGGGAAACCAACTCATTCTTTAATGACAAATTAAAATGTTCCTTTTCTTATTCAACTACAATTTCTGTATTCTTGCTCCTGGGCAGCATGCCAAACAGGTTTAAAGTCATTAGTGCCTTGATATTGTTATTTTCAGGCAAATTAATGTGATTTTTCTGAGCCATTCCCTTGAAAAGGCCACTTGTGGGTTTGAGTCATCAGTGCAAATATTGCTGATCTCTGCCAAGGACTGCTACTCTTCATCATGAAGAATATTCATTTATATCAGCTGACATGCAATCACCTTTTATCTCCTTTATTTTGAACTCCTTCTCTTTGATATCCAGCAGAACATTAGTCTAATACTTCACTGTCTTGTCACCTAAG